GCGATATAACGCGTGGGAATTCCACTCGTGCCGATATAATGCGTGGGAACTCTACTTGTGGTGATACAACGCATAGGAATTGTTCGAAATTTTATTTAGTTTTATAATGGATGATCATACAGAGCGTGACAGTTCCTATTTCTTCTACCCTGAATTTAACATTAAAATAGATGATCGCTACGTCCCCATATTAATGAACTCCATTTAGCTAATTAAATATTTAATAGAGATTTATGCGTTATTTTGTAATCAACCCGAAAGGTTAAATAAGGAAAAGATATATAACTTATTCCACTTTCATAATCACCTAGGTAATTAACAAACTTTGAAAACGAGCTCTTTCCGTATTTCACCGATCTACAAATTATAACTTCGCATAATTATTACTTCTGGGTTCTTTTCTAATTGCACATAGTTGTGGCGATATTTCAAAGGTCATACACTCGTGAAAATACTATACCCGACGAGGAGATTAAATGAAATAAACGAACGTGAAGAAAAATGTGACGTGAACAGACCACGAGAATACAAATACTCCCTTCATCGATCTACAATCTTTCATGACTACTCTATATAGCCGTGCAGCATTCGCTTTATGAGGGTGATTCACCCTCTTCTATATCGTCGAGCATGCTCATCCGAATCGTTCTCCAGGGCGAACGTCCGGTCCGTTACGACCGGAGGAAAATAAAGAGAGAAGGTCCGAAATAAAAGGTGAGCTGTTGCTGATAACGATTTATTTCACTCGAAAAGCAACGCTGCATTTATGCTTTTTTGAATTTTTACAATACTCTTTTTCTAACTATATTCATTTTTTCATCATTCATTTCAATACGTTTATAACTTCTGTCAAACTGTTGACTATTTTATTAGAATTTTTTTTTCTACAGCATATCTATTATTTCTGTGGTATTTTATCAATTGTTAATAGCGGTTTATTTCGCTTGAGATGAACAATATTTTGCACTTTTTATATCTCACTGTCAAAACCATATTGATCGAATACGTAACTGTATCAATTTCGACATGTATAGTGATGTCAAAATAATATCCAATATCTTCTGTTAGAAATACCAAAACTATTCAAATATAGTCCGGTTCTAATAAATGTAACATTGCTAAAACTCCATTAGAACATAATCATTTATTTCTGACTCCTTTAACTTTGTTGAAAAATCTTAGAAACTTGTTAATTTATTCGCTACTTCTACAACTCCGTTAAAGATCTCTTGGACTCAATAACCCATTAATTACTTCCTTTGATACTTTCAGAAGAAAATCTCTGGCTGCAACTTGTCGTTGCAGAGTAAAGTGGGAATCTCAGTTATATCCTAAATTTTGAATAACTTTGCACTTTCCTCTTTTATCATTATTATATTTTCTGTCTGTAACGAGATTTGCAAAATTTAGGAAACTTCATATTTTCAAATTTTAGGATATGTAGTTTCACAAATTTCGGGACTTCTAAATTCTCAATTTTGCAAATTTTGAAATTAGAAAATTTTCAAGTTTCAATATTTTCCACTCCTAATTTTCAATTTTTCAATTCTTCCATTTTTCAATTTGTCAATTTTTCAATTCGTTAATTTTACATTTCTTCAGTTTTTCAATTCTTCCATTTTTCAATTTTTCAATTTCTCAATTCACAAATTATAACTTCGCATAATTATTACTTCTGGGTTCTTTTCTAATTGCACATAGTTGTGGCGATATTTCAAAGGTCATACACTCGTGAAAATACTATACCCGACGAGGAGATTAAATGAAATAAACGAACGTGAAGAAAAATGTGACGTGAACAGACCACGAGAATACAAATACTCCCTTCATCGATCTACAATCTTTCATGACTACTCTATATAGCCGTGCAGCATTCGCTTTATGAGGGTGATTCACCCTCTTCTATATCGTCGAGCATGCTCATCCGAATCGTTCTCCAGGGCGAACGTCCGGTCCGTTACGACCGGAGGAAAATAAAGAGAGAAGGTCCGAAATAAAAGGTGAGCTGTTGCTGATAACGATTTATTTCACTCGAAAAGCAACGCTGCATTTATGCTTTTTTGAATTTTTACAATACTCTTTTTCTAACTATATTCATTTTTTCATCATTCATTTCAATACGTTTATAACTTCTGTCAAACTGTTGACTATTTTATTAGAATTTTTTTTTCTACAGCATATCTATTATTTCTGTGGTATTTTATCAATTGTTAATAGCGGTTTATTTCGCTTGAGATGAACAATATTTTGCACTTTTTATATCTCACTGTCAAAACCATATTGATCGAATACGTAACTGTATCAATTTCGACATGTATAGTGATGTCAAAATAATATCCAATATCTTCTGTTAGAAATACCAAAACTATTCAAATATAGTCCGGTTCTAATAAATGTAACATTGCTAAAACTCCATTAGAACATAATCATTTATTTCTGACTCCTTTAACTTTGTTGAAAAATCTTAGAAACTTGTTAATTTATTCGCTACTTCTACAACTCCGTTAAAGATCTCTTGGACTCAATAACCCATTAATTACTTCCTTTGATACTTTCAGAAGAAAATCTCTGGCTGCAACTTGTCGTTGCAGAGTAAAGTGGGAATCTCAGTTATATCCTAAATTTTGAATAACTTTGCACTTTCCTCTTTTATCATTATTATATTTTCTGTCTGTAACGAGATTTGCAAAATTTAGGAAACTTCATATTTTCAAATTTTAGGATATGTAGTTTCACAAATTTCGGGACTTCTAAATTCTCAATTTTGCAAATTTTGAAATTAGAAAATTTTCAAGTTTCAATATTTTCCACTCCTAATTTTCAATTTTTCAATTCTTCCATTTTTCAATTTTTCAATTTCTCAATTCGTCAATTTTACATTTCTTCAGTTTTTCAATTCTTCAATTTTTCAATTTTTCAATTCTTCAGTTTCTTAATTTTTCAGTTCTTCAATTCTTCAATTCTTTAAGTTTTCAATTATTTAATTCTTTAATTCTTTGATATTTCGATATTTTAATTTTTCAATTCTTCGATTTTTAAATTTTTAAATTTTCCTACTTTCTAACTTTCCCAATTTCCAAATTTTTAATTTTTCAAATCATCAAGCAATACGTATACATACAGAATTAATAATATAACAATTATCATTTAAATCACGATAGATCACACGTCAATTATCACTGCATCAATCAACGCGTTAATTTCTTTCAATCGTTTAATCCCATTTAATCAATGGTGCCTGTTACCGATAACTTCCGTCGGAATTGAACTTATTAATAGAGTTTAAACGCTGCGAGTCGAATCCCGGAATATTTAACAAGCAGCTAAACGCCGTTTGCCGAGAATAGCATAACACGAGGGAGCGTGTTGTATGCATTTGGCGCGAGTCAATTCGAATCAATATTATTTACTATTTTAAACTAACGAAACGTTAGGGTCATTATGTTTGCCTCCACCGAGTCTAAACTCACCCTATCTTGTTCGTTGACCCCTCGAATATCCTGGCGGAGTATAGTTATACATGCGTGACGATGCAAACGCTCGATACTCAGCCTAGACATTGCCAGCCAAGGAACATATGTCGTTTATTCTCACATGCTAGTTTCGCGATCGAAACCCTTAATAATACAACGACTTCATAAAAACACGATAAACAGCTGCAAGTACTCTCTGTGGACGAGTTGGTGATCGAGATCGATTTAAAAGCTGATAACAGTTATTTGGTCGTCAACTGTCCCACACAAAAGACAAATTGCTTTGAGATAAATAGGAGATGAAAAGTACTGAAGAAATCGTTTGGAATAGAATCCGAAATAACAGCGTTTGTTAGAACTTCAAATACGTACGATGAGAAAAAACTGATTAGTTATGCAAAGTATCAAAACTGAATTAAATCATTTCAATTATTTCAATGAATACTTTATTCAAACACAAACTGACAAGGAAATAGAAGAAAAAGTGTGATTTTACCTAACCGGAAGAAGACTAAAGAAATTGAAAGCGGGCTTTCCAATGAAGTTTGACTAAATTGCACAAAAACGTGATATTTTCATAGTCGTTGTTTTCTGTTGGCGAAATTAATTGGCTTCTTGATTTTTCTTACATTTTCTTGTTAAAATAATGATTCATGTTGTGAACACTTCCGGTTCGAGAAACCGCAGATCACCTATCAAAAATTGGCTGCTTAACAAGTTGAATTCGAGATGAGCAATCGAAGGCTGGTTTTTGATGACGCAACTGCGTATCTGGATGGCGAGAATAAAACGCACGAATGGGGCTATTTGTGTCCTCACGAAAAACAATATCCGTCATGTATACATGGTTGCTTATATTTTTAATCACAAATTAAAAATGCACAATTGTACTTGTGTGGTTAAGTGACAAATTTCACATGTGAAACTGCATGAAATAATTTTATATCGAAACGTGAAGATAGTATATAAAATTGCTGTCTTTAAAGTGTAATAGAAAAAAGATAGAAATGATGTTTATGATCATGTTTCTAATTTTGAGTGATAAATTTGAAGTACTAGCTTATAATGTTATTTTTAATTGAAATAAATAATTGTTATTAGTGAACGATAAAACTTGAAGCTTTTGTAAATGTTACTAGTAAACAATAAAACATAACCTCAAAATAATAGCTACTAGTAAACGATACAACTTGAACCTGTCATAAGTGTTGCTAGTAAACGATAAAACATAACCTACAATAATAATAGCTACTGGTAAACGATAAAACTTGAGCCTGTAATAAGAGTTATTAGTAAACTATAAAATTTAAAACTAAAATAATTATAGCTACTAGTAAACGATAAAACTTAATCCTGCAATAATAACAGTGTCAGGAGCAAAAATAACAGAACACAGTTTCTAACCACAATAAATATATATTTGCATTCTTTGACACTTCGACTCTGTGATACGTGGTGTATAACATAACATAACTGAAGTTGTTTGAAAAAGAAAAACTAAAACGTAAGAGAGCGCAGTAATCGCATGCTCACAAATTATATAATTAATCCAGGAGAGGGCAGTTAAAGTATCGATCTGCATCGATCCACTCTATCAAATAATTTCTAATAAACAACACCTACAATTACTAACAAAACCTGCAATAAACAGGAACTCATAATAGCTACAAATCAATAGAGAATAAAAAGAATAATTAAAAATATTTAAATGTATGCGAAATATCAGTTTGAATAATTCACGACGGTTTACATCCGTCAAATCCTTCAGCTTCCCCGTCAGTTGCCATTGCTGATAAATTCATGAAATACATGTCGTGTTCGATTATTCGCGATACACTGATTAATTGGGTAATTTTAAGTGATTAAATGATTCAACGACGATTCAAAGGTAATTCCATTGACAATAATTGAAAGAGGATTTGGCGGAAGTTATTGGCTAGCTCACCGCCGGTAATATTACACGATCCATCTGGCAGGTGTGCCAACTTGATTAACGAGAAATGTTTTGCTCCGTCTAGCGTCGTACAATGTGCGAATTCTTGTTCGCGTAAATTTCCTGGAAGCTGATTTCCACGTATGAAAGCGTTTCGAACATATTAACGTTTTTCCAAATTCGCTTTTTGTTTCGATATTGTTGCAGAGTTCGTGCGGATTTTGTGCCAGTTTCTCGAGGAAGGAAAATGTCACGCAGGTGTTTTAGAATAATGAACATAACTGGTGTTCTATAGGTACGGTAAAGTTTTAAATATTAGTAATTGATAATGTAGTAATTGTGTAGATATGTAATAAGTGCCTGTAATGATTTATATAAAATAATATTTAATTAATTAAATAATTTAACCAATATTTAAAATTTAGTGTTTATTAGTTTACTGTAATAATAATAATAATTATTTTTAGTGCATAACCTTATCTCAAAGAGTTCCAGAATATTCTCTGCAATGATCCTCCACAATGATTCTAATTTTTAATAAATAAGAAAATGACACGTGAAATAATGTGTATCCGCATACAATATGAACTTTCTCACAAATTTTCTATGGCTCTCAAAAATTTTGAAATGAAAATTACGTGACATTTAAAAATACGAAGACGCATTGGATTACGCAAACGAGCATCAAGCGCGGAGAAAATATGACGATTTTAATTAGTGAACATGAAGCAACATGAAAGGGACCATTTCAATTAACAGAATCTAAAGTATATCGTGGTGCGTTTAATTATTTGCGTGATCGTCCATAAAAAGATGCATTTTACCCGAATAATTTTAACAATTATCGATTCTTTTTAGGTTAATTGATTGAATAATTTGCACAGTGCTTTTGATGATAATTATAAAGGTCTGACAATACATTTTGCAAAATATAGAGAAGGAAAATTATAGAGAATAAATTTCATAAAAAATTTATCTCTATTTGCAATCAAATGTTGCAGTAAAATTCTTCAATTTTTTCAAGGTGAAAAATTTTTTTAAAATGTAAAGAAAAATTAGGTGAATTTTACAATGTAAAAATTAGAAAAAAATTTGGATTATATTTTAAATTAAATTAACTGTGTACATACTTCTTATAAAAAAATTATTTATAGAAGCAATGTGTTTTACTTTCTTCTAACTTTATATTGCATAATTTATATTTTAAATTGATTTAATTTACATACTTATTATGAATTAAATTATAACTATAATTTAACATATACTTATTATTAAAGAAACGTTTATAAAAGCACTGAGTTAAATTTCTTCTAATTTTAATATTGTATAACTTGTATAACTTTAAATTGATTTACATACTTATTATAAATTAATTATAATGTTAAATTAATTTAACATATACTTATAAAAGAATCATTTATAAAAATGATCTCAACACAGCAACATACAAAACAATTGCAGCTACACGCCTATTATGCAATTAAGTTTAAGATTATAACGAGCAACGTAGATAGACGTCGCCGCTTGCATAACGGGATTCTCTATGCTTAAAGAGATCCACCGGAAGTAGGATTCCACTGACAAAACAGAAGAGCCACTAGAAATATTAATGTCACGAGACTGGATGAACTTAGCAAGCTCGCTATGGCGATATTCTGTAATTTAAAATCGCTTACGCCCAGAAGGCAAATGTCCTCTCTAAACGGTTAAACCCCGGAAATTACTTAACGAGAAATCGGGAAACGCGATCGAGCATTCAATTTCCGGTGAGATCGATTAAATATCTAGTCGGTGTTTATTATTTACTTGCAAACCTTATGATGGAAGAGGAATTTTCTTCTATAGTTATTTTTGATCAGAAATGTAATTATAGAAAGAATAGTGGAATAAAAAGAAGATGGAATTTGTGGAAAAAAAATCGATGAAATTTTGAAAGGGAAGTAATTTTACTTTTTGACACAAAAATCCAGGAATCCAAAAATCTAAAATTCAAGAAATCCACAAATCTAGCAATTTATTAAACTACCAAACTACCAATTTAAATCCCAAAAACTAACCTGCAAACTCACTGTTCTGAAAACTTTAAAATTAGAAAATTACAAATTTCTCCAAAATTACAAGCGTAATCTTTGTAGTTAAAAACGTAGAATATTACCTGATCATTAACTTCTTAATAAGAAAGATCGATAACGTTAACTGACAAAAACCAGTTGACTGCAAGTTTGATTAATGAATCGATGAAATAATCATTCATCTCTGATCGCTGGAAAATTTCCTTATAATGCAGCACTTGTATAAGAGCTCTTGTTTTACTTTATTTCTTTAAGAGTTTGTCATGAAGTTTTTTCGAGCAAACTTTCTAACAAATTTCCTCGAGCATCTATTAATTCTTGGAATAAAATTCATATTTTAGCCTGTCGAGAAGTTGGAGACGTACGATGAAGATAAAAATATTAATGTTTCAACTTTCTGATAATTTTTGTTTTAATCGTCAGAATTCTTTAATTAAAGACATTAACGACGTCATTATATATAATATCAAAAGACAAAAATTTGCTTATTTAATGTAACAGAAATTTATCGTTTTACCAAAAATAAAAATTGATGCTTGATATTTTAAAAAACTTTATAAAATTTACAAAACTATTTTATATTTTTATTTTTCATATCATATAAAAAAATTCATTGTAAAATTTATGTAATGTATACAATTCATGTATATAATTTACATTATTATTATTGCAGTTTGTAATTTATAATTTATAAAATTTATAAAATAATTTATAAACTATTATTAGGTATTATAAAGTATTCGCTATTCGAATACGGCAATAAAAATAATCGTAAAGCCCCGAAACCACGGTTCGTTAAACAATCATTCGCCGCGGAAATCTGAAATGCAGGCAGAAAGAGAGGAATGAAGAAATAACAAATATTGGCGATCACGTGGATCGAATGTTTTCATAGAAATCTACGCCGACCGGGGGATAAAATAGCAAGATGAAATATCGGTGCGAAGATGAATCATCTTGAGAAACGTCCAAGTAAACCCTTTCTTCAGTAACAGTGCCTCCTTTCGTTAATCTGACTCATGGCAAGATATTTTCAAAACTCTGTCGATGACCAATAATTTACTTAATTGACAAACTGGGCAAAAATTTACAACTAACAAGCTTTGGGAAACAAATATTTTCAAGAAGCTTTAGTAGATCTTTTTGATCGACCAATAATTTACTGACAAAATAGGAAAAAATTTACAGCTTACAGTATTTTAAAGAAACTTTGGTAGATCTATTAGTGGATATCAATGCAGACATGGCTATAATAAAATTTGACAATATTAATTAAATTTAGGTAAGAATAACAGAAATTGTATTGTCTGTGAAATAAATTTTTGAAATAACGAAGTAATAAAAGTGAAGAGGAGGCAATAGAATGTTTATAAAACGAGTAGTGTACTGAAGAAATTATACAGTACATTACTATGTACTGAAGATATGTGAATATAGTCTAAATATACTGTTCGATTACATAAACAAAAAGCAATGGAAGGATACGAGTCAGAAAGATTAACGAAGAAACTTATGCATATGTAATTAATTAAGGACAATGCACGTGATAGAAATCCACGCATATATGATGTCTGATCAATGAATTATACACACTACTGTAATCTCGCGCTGTATATGATTATAAAATATAAAATGAAGGTTAAACTATTATTGAAAATGCAAATTGTTATGCTTTCATATTCCTGAGTCTATAAATCCCAAACTTAATTTGTTAGACCACAAAATTCCTAGATTGCCAAATTACTATATTTTCATCTCAATGTCAAACAGCTAATTAATTAAATACGTCTCCAAATTTGTAGGTCCACAGATACCTAGATCCACATATTTCAATACCCCAAAACTCCTACATCATCAAATTTTACTTTAGTAGACCTAAATCCACGAATCTCAATATTATCACCTAGCTAAGTTAAATCCCACATTCCCCAATTGCTAGATCCGTAAATTTCAATATCCCAAAACTCCTACATCACCAAATTTTACTTTCATAGCCCTAAATCCACAAATCTCAATATTATCAACTAGCTAAGTTAAATCCCACATTGCCCAATTGCTAAATCCACAGATTTCAATATCCCAAAACTCCTACATCACCAAATTTTACTTTCATAGCCCTAAATCCACAAATCTCAATATTATCAACTGGCTAAGTTAAATCCCACATTGCCCAATTGCTAAATTCACAGATATCAATACCCCAAAACTCCTACATCACCAAATTTTACTTTCGTAGCCCTAACTCCACAAATCTCGATATTATCACCTAGCTAAGTTAAATCCCACATTGCTCAATTGCTAAATCCACAGATTTCAATACCTCAAAACTCCTACATCACCAAATTTTACTTTCATAGCCCTAAATCCACAAATCTCAATATTATCAACTAGCTAAGTTAAATCCCACATTATACAAATGCTAAATCCACAGACACCTAAATCCTCAGACTTCAAAATCCCAAAACTCGTAAATCTCCCCAAATTCCCATATTCTTAGATCCCTAAATGAACCCCTCCTCAACATCCCCATCCTCCCCATCCTCAAAAGCTTTGAAAATCATCGGACACCTTTTTCTTCGTCCCCACATCTCCAGGAAAGCTTTGCGTGACTGTACGCGGTAGCTTTTCTCGATGCCCGGTTGTAATTACACGAATAGGAAAAGCTCGTACGAATCGAGAGCAGAGGGGATTAACGAGTAAACGACTTTCACGCGCGTTCGTTGGCTCTGAAAACTCGCGTGGCGAGCAACCGTTTCGAGGAAGTCGTACGACGTCACAACTATAGATACTCTATTTTCGCTTATCTCGCCTCTACTGGCTCCTCTCCTAAGCTCGTTCTCCTCTTTCTCTCTTTCTTTGCCACGAAAACGTGTATTTCTGGCACGGCATCTCGACCGGCACAGGCCAGAGCTCCGAAGACAAATTCGAACCAGAACCCGGTTCGAGTCCCGATAAACCTGATAGCCATCACTCGAGCATCATCTCTGGAGAGTCCGGAGTGGAAAACGTTTCTACCGAAATAAATAGCCGACCCGAGAAATCGATTCTTTTATCTTCGGTGTGAAGTTATCGAGATTCTTATTTGGATGGTAATTTTCTTGTTTGAGGAATTGATTCGAACGGTGAATTGATATAGGTTATTTGTTTGATATTCATGGTTTGATGCTGTATTTTTATACAGTGAAATTATGGCATATGGGATGTTCTAAATTGTTTATATTATAGGAGATATGAAGGTAGAAGTTGGAAGATCAATTGTGATTTTTAATTAAATGAAGATGGCGGATTTTAATGAATTCAAGGTTGTATACGTATCACATGTAATCACGTATAAAACAGCCATGTTTCATTTGAGTTAATTCTATTAAATAAAATGTTAGCAAGTTTAACGAAATTTTTACAAGAAATATTACTAATATTATTGAATATTATATTCAATAATGAACTATTGTACTTATAATAAAATATTTGATATTAAATGTTAATATCATAATTGAAATCATTTTCTGTTAGCAGCACCAGACTAGAAATTGTTTATTATATTTTCTTAAATAATATTATATATAATATTTACTAATTATTTACTGATACTTTGCATCTTTTTATATAATAAATAATAAAGAACCACTAATAAATTTGATTTTAATATTTATTGGAAAGGTCTTACCTTTACTGGTGAGACTAAAGCTCCTAAGCCTGTAGCTGTCCTCGTCCTCGCCATCTTCCCTAGCAGGCATTTGCGACGAGGTGTCAGGAACATCCAAAAATGCATTACTCTTTCTGTGATGAGTATGATGCATGCTTTGTCCTCTTCGACTGCCTCTTCTCCTGAGACCAGGACTAATATCATTGTCGGTTAATCTGGGCTCGCTGCTGCAGTGAGCAGATTTAACTGTGCCCTCGTGGTGATGATGATGGTGGTGCGCAGCTGAAACCAGAAATCAATATGCAAATTATGTAATCAATTATACAAACTGTAGTAATAAGTTACGTTTCAGAGGGTTCTTTCTATTAATTGTTTTATTCTTTTAATGGAAATATAAACTAAAATCAATGAAACCTTGTTTCATTTTGAAAGTTTTGAAATTTTTGAAAGGTTTGAAATTTTTTGTCAGTCAAAAATAGATAGTATATGAATTAAAATAAAACTATAATGTTATTTAATGTAAAATATTATTGTACACATTATACAAATAGTGTTATACCAGACAAGCAATATTTGTTCGTATGTCACTTTCATTTTGAAAACAACTCTCACTCGTGGAACACAATCAATTTTAGAAGAAACAATCCACGTTTCAACTTTGTAAAAATTCTAGTTTTATGAAACTATGCATGCTTCCTTAGGGAAACCGACAATGTTGAGGAGTTTTAATACGTTCGCAAACGTGAACATTCACGATTAAGATTTTTCTAACATCTAAAATTATGCGATTTGCAATTTTTTAACTTTTACTTTCAAACTTTAAACTTTTAACTTTTTTACTTTTTAATTTAAAAAAGAAACTACTGGTTTAAAATTTCTGAAGGAATTTGCAATTTTTAAATTATAAAATTAATTTTTATTAATTGAACTCTTAGAAATAGAATTTGTCGAAATTTATAAAGCGTCTCGACAACAGCTAGATGGTCACAAAATTATTTGATCGATCGACGTTTCACGTGTTGCTCACGTTTTCTTTGATTGCTCTTTGGAGCCTTGAAAAGGCGATCAGCAGCGAGATAAAGAGTGGAAAATTTTCAAAGGACCCACGCTGCACACAGCGAGAAGCCATCGCATGAAAAGTGGTGGGTTCGAGCTTGAGGAAGCAAAAAACGAAGAACGTGATTCGAGAAAGGGCGAAACCAGAATATTATGAGTGTAACTTGACCCTTTTCAAATCTTTTTCGACTTTTATTACCGCGTTATGAATGGTAGCTTTTTTGAGACGCTACAGATTTCACAATTTAAAGGAATTAATATCGCTCCTCTTATTCGTTTTATTCAAATTATGGAAATGAATGTTCCCTATAAAATAAGATACTCAAATCTGATTCCTCAGAAAAAATTATTCACATACGACATTTTAATATTCTTTACTTATTTTAATATAATTACTTGTTGTAATAGCAATGAACATTTAGTTTAATTATAAATAACTTTGTCAATTATTTGATACATAGTGCAGTGAATTAATAGACCTGGTTTATAATCAAATTTTTCACACAGGTTCTTCTAAAATTCGTGTCGCAGTGTTTCAATTATAAAATGAAGCTTCAGTTCACAGATTATTTATTCGATTTGACCACCTATTTCGTATACGATCCGAGAATTCCTGGTTGATCGGAGCCGTAAAGCAAATGGCTCTCGATTGAGCTCTGCTCGATTTTTTTTAGTCCTCGAGTCACGTTCGTTAAGCCATAAATAAAACTTCGAGGCCCGAGGCTTCGATTCCGATGGTGGAGCTGTGAAATAAACGCGATGCCGGGGATTCGTCATTGCTACCAAGCGAGCTCGTGAAAGCACGATTACAAATCGTTGTTGCGCTCGACAACGTTTTACGCTTTTCAGACCTGACGAAATCACGTTTCGGCTTCTATTCTGGCAACGTTCATCGTTTGGCTAGTAGGTCACTGACAGACTAAACGTAGCTGCGATGCCAGTGCACCTTAACTGGGAAAATGGTCGAGAGAATTCGTTTTACTTGAATACTGGCGAACCATTCTGATACTAGAACCAATGAACTGAACCAATTTGATTACTGATCATTCTGATCTATCCATGATCGCTAAATTATAGTCATTTCTCCTTGAAAATATGCGACACAACTTTAATCGGACAATGTTTCTAGTAGCAACAGGGCACCTGTTGTTCCAAACGTGTCGCGGACACCAACACCTACCACGCGAAATGCTTCAAGTTTATCGAGTTTCCATTAATGCACCGCATCTGCTATCATTTTCGCGTGTATCGTTTCAACCAGCACGCGATTAAATACTCCAACTTACGGTGGCTGGCTAAATTATTATACTCGGGAGATTTCTTCTTGAAAATATGCGACAGACGCGACTTTAATTGGTTTAACAATGTTGTTGATACTCGATGCATCGATAAGCAATACAGACAAACCTGTGAGTAACGTGTTAACGCGTGAATCTCGTTTCTGGAATAAAAGGCGGGTGTGGATATAAGGTTATGCTAAGTACTCTATGTTCCGAGACTCTGTTGGTGGTTGGACGAAAACCTTGACTTCGATTTAAGCGACGTTGTACTCGGTAGGTGCTGGATTTTTATGTACTCGGAATTGTAAATTAAAATAGCGGTGTGATGAAATATTAAATAATCGTATTTCTTTGTGTAGTATAGTTCGACTTATGTTTAAGTTTTCAATTTTTACTTTCGAAAGATTGTCGTTGAAAAATAATATTGTAGGATTGTAATAAAAATTTTGTGTTCTGTTGATTGAGATTGTAAAATTCGGAATTTTCTTTTTGAGTATCGTTACTAACTGTGTATATGTACACGTACTATTGTATACTATTGTGTTTATGCATACATGTAAATCTAATATGTATACATGTACATATATGTGTACATATACAAGTACATGTATGTGTACATGAACATATGTGTATATGTATACATATAATAACTTTAACAAACTGAACAATACTATCTAAATTATCTGAAACATTCACTGAATATCTCAAATATTAATTGAAACATCAAGAATAGATCTTGATAACAAAATTTACAGACCTAATTTAATTTTATAATTTTTAACATGAAAAATAATTTTCCACTACAGTTAAAATAATAATTCAACAAGAAGAAACGTTTAAGAAAATAATTTCCTAAAATAGACCAAAAAATAATTGAGTAAATAAGCCATACAAAGCTAACAATACAACATTCGAATCCATCGAAAAGCTATCAAAAATTCTTGTGTCGTAAGACCTTTCACAATATCCCATTCCATGCAGTGAGAATTGCTGCACGTGTACATGACGTCGATGTCGCGTCAATCCACCCTTCAAGAGTTAATTTAAAAATGGATAGTTGTATAGGGTCAAACCCATTGAACCATGGAGAGCAGTGTTGTCTGCGTGCTCTTTCACGTGGCGTCGATACTTGGTATCGGCCACACCATAGTGACTGATCACGCGAAAATTTGAACGCGTCCGAAGACCTCGTTAATGAAAATTAATTACCACCATCGAACCATTCGTTGCAGGAAGTTTATCCGAACGTAAGAGAATTCCCTGTACAAATACACGCGTTAGTGGAATATTGCTATATTGCGTCCCTTATGAAAATACTTCCATAAAATGAAAACGTGTTTATGATTTTCACCAAGATGGTATTTTAGCATACTCATTAACGCATAGCTGTAAGGACTGATTGAGGAAATATTTCTAAAATCTTCATCAGTAAATTGCGAACGAAATTGAAACGAAATTGGCGGCTTTTAAATATTATTGGCAGCTTGTTAATATTATTTGTGCAGTGATTGGTTCTTATTTATCAATGTATGACAACCCCACGTTAAGGGATGTCGTTTAAGTCAATTTATATGTGAATGAGGGCCATGGTTCAATTTAGGATCTGGTCCAATTTAGGATCTGATCTAATCTAGGGAGCCTTTAATTAAGGCGGAAGTCAAAATACTATGAAAATTTATTAGGTATTTATTAAAAGCAGTAATATTTCATGTTTAACTAGGACAAACAGTGCGGATTAAAGCAAACAATCGGAGTCTGAAATTAGAGGAACGTTTGAACTGAACTTTCGATGATGTTAGTATTAAATCTGATTTCATTCATTTTTATTATTATTACAATTTATATTAATTATTGTTATTAATATAAATAGTATTAATTATTGTTAATATAAATAGTATTGATTATTGTTGTTAATATGAATAGTATATTAATGAATAGTATAGTAAGACACTTGTTATATTGCAATTCATAAGACTCTCGTTATATTGCAACTCATAAAACTCTCGTTATATTGCAACTCATAAAACTCTCGTTATATTGCAACTCGTTAAACTCTCGTTATATTGCAACTCATAAAACTCTCGTTATATTGCAACTTGTAAGGCTCATGTTATATTGCAACTCGTTAAACTCTCATTATATTGCAACTCATTAGCCTCTCTTTATATTGCCTCTTGTTTTACTTACAAAATTAAAAAATTTGCAATATATTAATAATATAAATATTTTTAAATAAAAATTTTGCATAAAACTGGCACAACAAATATAAATTAAATATGAATATTATATTCACTATAACCATATAATTATTAATAATGATATAGGTATAATAATGTCATGTACCGTTCGTTTAAAACAATGAGCAAATATATTTTATCATTTCTAATTAATTTTAATTACCAAGCTTCCTGTATATCTATGTGTAAACTGAAACTCTAATCCTGTTAATTTTATCTTTCCTGTTAATTATCTCTATTTGTTCAAAATTTATACAATCGCATTAATCAAGCTGTAATAAATTATACAAATTAAAGATTGAATATTCATACATAAATAGACACATCAATTGTATTAATTTAATGTAAAATACTATGATTAATAAAAGTATCTTCTATATCACAAAAATATGCACAGAGTTCTAAATGAATAAAATTACAAAATTTTCGAGGTGAAACCTTGAAAGTATCTTCCATAGTGCAAAAAATATACACAAAGCTTTAAATTAATAAATTTACAAAATTTTTGAGGTGAAACCTTACAAGTACTTATCGTCCATAGTGCAAAAAATATGCACAAAGTTTTAAATTAATTTTACAAAAATTTCTAGATAGAACCTTAAAATAAAACCCCAAAGTCAATTTTACTTTCAAAAAGTCTCTCAACAATTTTTATAAAAAAAAAGAATTCTCTAAAATGAAACAATAATTTAAAGTAATCTGAGATAAAATAAGATCCTGTAAATCTACTTTTAATCACCACAATAATGATACATCACGCGTGTAGCGTCATAAATGTAAAAAATACCTTTCGAATATTGTACAAAAGCAAGTGTCGAGTGAGTAATCTTCAAATAGTTAAAAAGAAAAGAAAAATTAGGAACATGATCGTTTACCTTGTGCAGCGGCTCGCCGACGTATACTTTTATTCGCGCCAGAAACACGTGCACTCTGGGACCTGGTTGCTGGTCTACGTCTTCTGGTCGGTGTACTGCTATCAGGAGTACCACTTCCGCTATCCTTTTCCCTGTCGATTTTATCCCTTTCCCGTGCACCCGAGGGAGGCATCGCCTCCAACATTTGTTCCATACTGGAGAATCCAGGAGCGCAGATCGACGCGGACCTGGTCTTCCTCCGCAGCGAATTCTCCGCCATTTTGTGCGTTTTTCTTCAGACGCTCTTGATTTCAAAATATCCTGTTCACTATTCTAACTCTCGCAGAATTTTTGAATATCTTTTTTTAAATCTTTGCGAAGCACTTCCACTTCCCGTGAAACGAAGGTCCAAGAATTCGCCCGGGCAAATTTACGAGGTCCCGGAAGAGCACTGTTCCATGAAAACTGGTTTCCGGAGTTTGATTCTCGCCGAGATAAACAAACGCCGGCTATTTCGCGTTCCAGATATGACCCGTAACCTTTCACTGAATGTTCAATTAAAAGTTCCACGGTAGAGTTCTGTCGAAGAGATCATTAGAGTTCGATCTTGGAATTCTGAAGCAACATATGGTATCGCCGTTAATTGTAAGGCGATATAACGTGCTGCAAATTACGTGATCGAAGGAAATCTCGATCGGGTTGCAATTTCGAAATTGCAATGAAGGTAAACGTGATCCGATGTTAATTGGAAATTGAGGCAATTGGAAATAATTTCGAAAAAAGCGTGCAGTAAAGCTGTTTTTCATTTAAAAAATTAACTCCTTTCATGGAATGTATTCTAATTAATCTTCCTCGTATTATATGTAACATACCATACGTTCTTTGCATTTAACAGATTTAATTGCATGTTTCAAAATTAATAAAATTACTGGAAAAGCTTCCTTTGACTGTAATTTTTTATAGTGTTTGCTTCCTGCTTTTTATGGTGAATTAATTCACGTTATTAAGGTATTTAAATTGAGAACACTGTATTTAAAAATTGATACAGGTCAATATTGCTGGCTATCGTTATATTGCCAGATGGTACTGACAGGCTCTAGTTATATTGCAACTCGTTAGATTCTCCTTATATTGCAACGCATGAGACTCTTGTTATATTGCAATTCATAAAACACTCGTCATATTGCAACTCGTTAAACTCTCGTTATACTGCAATTTGTTAGATTCTCGTTATATTGCAACTGGTTAGGCTCTCCTTATATTGCAACACATAAGAGACTCTTGTTATATTGCAACTCGTAAGACTCTCGTTATATTGCAACTCGTTAGACTCTCCTGATATTGCAACTCGTTAGACTCTTGTTATATTGCAACTCGTAAGACTCTCGTTATATTGCAACACATGAGACTCTTGTTATATTGCAACTCATAAGACTCCCGTTATATTGCAACTCATAAGACTCTCCTCATATTGTAACTCATAAGACTCTCCTGATATTGCAACTCGTTAGACTCTTGTTATATTGCAATTTGTTAGCCCCTCCTTATAATGCCTCTTGTTTTACTTACAAAATTAAAGAATTTGCAATATAATAACAATACAAATATTTTTAAATAAAAACGTTGCATAAAACTGACACAACAAATATAAATATTTTAAATATAAAATAAATATCATTAATCTTTGCAATATTTTATACATCCACTTCTACAATAAATTCAACGATAGAAAAAACAAAATGATTCATATTTCTCTATTTTAAAAACAGGTATAATATCGAAGCTTTCCAATGATTCGTTCTTAATTGGAAACATCCAGGAGAATTCACGGCCGCAAAACCGAGAATATTAAAAATGCAAAAAAAAAAAATTGAAAAAAGAAGAAAGAGGCAGAGAAATTGTACACGTAACGAGTAATTTATTTTTCGATCAGAACATGAGGGTTCTCCGCTGATTCGCATTCCCAGTTCTCGTCAATTAATATTGTAATTGGTTCTCCTAGCTTTTGAAGTCACTTTGCCACTACAAATTTGTTCCGCTTCGATACACAGGCACGTCAATTTAGTTATTTACGTAAGAATAACCCGGTGGAAGCCGTGCTGTTCCGTTTTTGCGTGGCTACTGAACGCAGAATATCATTAACCCATTAAGGACCAATGTTGCATGAATGCAACATTTCACTTGCAAGTCTTTTTTATTTTCGCTCGATTTACATTGTCGGCTTCCGTCTTTAAACGTAGTCATCGCGAAAAATATCTCCGCTAACTTATTTCGCGATCTTATGTTAATTTTCATTGTATCGGACATGTTTCACAATTTTCTGAAGTTTCGACAAAAATTTAGGTTTCATTGTGTTGTGGAAGACGAAACATGTGTTATGGTGAGATTTATTATATATTTTTATATTTTAAGATCCCTAAATCCCTAAATTGCTAGATTCCTAAATTTGTCGATCTCTAAATCTCTAAATCTCTAGATCCTTAAATCCCTAGGGGCAAGAATCCTTAGATCTCTAGATACCAAAATCTCTAGAGAAAAAAATCCGCAGATACAAAATTCCCTAGATCTCAAAATCCATAGATCCCTAAATCCCCAGGTCCCTAAATCCCTAAATCAATAAATCCCCAGATCCCTAAATCCCTACATCACTAAATCCCCAGATCCCTAAATCCCCAGGTCCCTAAATCCCCAGATCCCCAAATCCTCAGACCTTTAAATCCCCAGATCCCTAAATCCCCACATCCGAAAATCCCCAGATCCCTAATCCCTAAATCAATAAATCCCCAGATCCCTAATTCCCCAGATCCCTAAATCCCCAGATCCCTAAATCCCCAGATCCCTAAATCCCCAGATCCCTAAATCCCCAGATCCCTAAATCCCCAGATCCCTAAATCCCCAGATCCCTAAATCCCCAGATCCCTAAATCCCCAGATCCCTAAATCCCCAGATCCCTAAATCCCCAGATCCCTAAATCCCCAGATCCCTAAATCCCCAGATCCCTAAATCCCCAGATCCCTAAATCCCCAGATCCCTAAATCCCCAGATCCCTAAATCCCCAGATCCCTAAATCCCCAGATCCCTAAATCCCCAGATCCCTAAATCCCCAGATCCCTAAATCCCCAGATCCCTAAATCCCCAGATCCCTAAATCCCCAGATCCCTAAATCCCCAGATCCCTAAATCCCCAGATCCCTAAATCCCCAGATCCCTAAATCCCCAGATCCCTAAATCCCCAGATCCCTAAATCCCCAGATCCCTAAATCCCCAGATCCCTAAATCCCCAGATCCCTAAATCCCCAGATCCCTAAATCCCCAGATCCCTAAATCCCCAGATCCCTAAATCCCCAGATCCCTAAATCCCCAGATCCCTAAATCCCTAAATCAATAAATCCCCAGATCCCTAAATCCTCACATCACTAAATCCCTAGATCTCTAAATCCCAAAATCTCTAGATGAATAAATCCCTAGATCTAAAAATTCCCTAGATCTCAAAATCCACAGATCCCGAAATCTCTTAATTTTCTTAATTTTTCGTATTCCTAAAACTGTAATAAAAAATCTTCCTAGAAATCGCAGTAAATTACCGCAAAGTTAATATTTAAATGGCACGTTTCTTTGCAAGAATACATTCCTATGATAGAATCTCGCCATTTGCACGAGCAAATATCTGCGTAAAGTTAGATTAATATCTACAAAGGGAGAAATATAACTCCCTATATTTACCCGGGAATTAAAGTGGCCGTTACAAGCTATCCCGGTGATGCTTTATAAGTCCTTTATTAGGAAAATCTATCTATCGATTCTTTTTTTTCTGCTCTTGCGAAGGGAACGACGCGTTTATTGCGCTCCAAGTGCAACGTTAAGTAGAAGAGATCAACCTTTATTCCCGCTTCATTGTATTTACGAGCTCCAGACTGATAACAAGCTTTATAGATTGCAAACTTGACGGAAAATGTGCCTCAGAATAGCTGTAACTTTACGGCTGTTGTATTTTCGAGTTTATTTTTAGTAAACAATAGGAAACCACACGAGCATAAAGAAGATTGAGTTTGAAGATGTATTAATTTTCTTGTCGAGGACTCTTATCTTTGCAATATTTCGTCGATCATGTTGGATGAGGGAGACAATTTTTAATAACAATTCATTAGTGAAAAATTATGGTTTCGTTCAGTTTTGAAATCATAAGAAGTCTTAGTATCTAAAGTCACAATACAATCCTTTCAGTTATTACTTTTATTAACCAAAACCAGTTATTATTTTTATTCTATAATAAATCTATTTATCCATGCATCAACAATTTATCCTCCTCACAGCCTTTCCTCCAACACTAAACAAGAATTTAATTATCCAAGTTGTACACAAAAACCTGTCAATAAAGAGCACCAAAGAAAGCAATGTAATCCACGTTTTCTCATAACGAAAACCACGAAGGTTTTCCTTCAAAAAAGCGACATGTCTCGCTAGAGCAGAATTCCTATGGTGTCGAGAGCTGTAGGGCATACGATTCGAATGAGAAAATGGCATTTCAATCGTGCACCACGGTGTGTTGCGTCAATGCGGTGGGTAATAAGGTGACAAGACATTTAATATATCGGAGAATGAGTTACGTGAGTTTGCCGCTTGATAAGGTTCACGAGATTGCGGGGGTGCACGAGATGCAAGGGCGATTTTGCCCTTTCCTCTTTGACAGAGAAACAGGGTCGTTGCATCTTTGATTCCGGCTCGATGAAATATTACCGACGCTGCTTGCATTATGCTGCGTTATACAGTCTGTTTCAAAACTTCGATGGACTCGATCAAATAATTAATTTGTATTGATAAAAAAATTTATATTGATTGACTTTGAATTATAGTCCTGTGTGACTTTCTATTACTAGCACCCTCCACCTTCCAAACTCTCTATTAGTCATCTTTAGGCATTTTTTACTATTTGTCTTGTTAGAGTTTTGGCCATTTTAAGGAAATTTGATTCTCTGACAAAAAGTCGTATCGATCTATCGATTCTTTTTTTTCTGCTCTTGCGAAGGGAACGACGCGTTTATTGCGCTCCAAGTGCAACGTTAAGTAGAAGAGATCAACCTTTATTCCCGCTTCATTGTATTTACGAGCTCCAGACTGATAACAAGCTTTATAGATTGCAAACTTGACGGAAAATGTGCCTCAGAATAGCTGTAACTTTACGGCTGTTGTATTTTCGAGTTTATTTTTAGTAAACAATAGGAAACCACACGAGCATAAAGAAGATTGAGTTTGAAGATGTATTAATTTTCTTGTCGAGGACTCTTATCTTTGCAATATTTCGTCGATCATGTTGGATGAGGGAGACAATTTTTAATAACAATTCATTAGTGAAAAATTATGGTTTCGTTCAGTTTTGAAATCATAAGAAGTCTTAGTATCTAAAGTCACAATACAATCCTTTCAGTTATTACTTTTATTAACCAAAACCAGTTATTATTTTTATTCTATAATAAATCTATTTATCCATGCATCAACAATTTATCCTCCTCACAGCCTTTCCTCCAACACTAAACAAGAATTTAATTATCCAAGTTGTACACAAAAACCTGTCAATAAAGAGCACCAAAGAAAGCAATGTAATCCACGTTTTCTCATAACGAAAACCACGAAGGTTTTCCTTCAAAAAAGCGACATGTCTCGCTAGAGCAGAATTCCTATGGTGTCGAGAGCTGTAGGGCATACGATTCGAATGAGAAAATGGCATTTCAATCGTGCACCACGGTGTGTTGCGTCAATGCGGTGGGTAATAAGGTGACAAGACATTTAATATATCGGAGAATGAGTTACGTGAGTTTGCCGCTTGATAAGGTTCACGAGATTGCGGGGGTGCACGAGATGCAAGGGCGATTTTGCCCTTTCCTCTTTGACAGAGAAACAGGGTCGTTGCATCTTTGATTCCGGCTCGATGAAATATTACCGACGCTGCTTGCATTATGCTGCGTTATACAGTCTGTTTCAAAACTTCGATGGACTCGATCAAATAATTAATTTGTATTGATAAAAAAATTTATATTGATTGACTTTGAATTATAGTCCTGTGTGACTTTCTATTACTAGCACCCTCCACCTTCCAAACTCTCTATTAGTCATCTTTAGGCATTTTTTACTATTTGTCTTGTTAGAGTTTTGGCCATTTTAAGGAAATTTGATTCTCTGACAAAAAGTCGTATCGAACTACATACATACATATGTGATATATGTTGATCTACATACATATGTGATACATAGTATGTCGGAAAAGTAACGGAACTTGTTAAATTTAAGGAAAACCATCGCCATCTATTAAAACAATATTTTATCTGAAAACAGTATACCTCCCCTACAAAACACAACAATCATTATTGGAATCGAGCAACGAATTGTAAACTTGTAGCGTTTAATGCGACAGAACCTTTCGTCACCGTGTCACAAAATCACGGGCAAGCGCAACAAATTGCTCGCGTTGAATATTCCGAGGATCTTATCAAAACAGCCAGACGAAACTGTACATTCCTGGAATCAATTGTAACTAGTGACGAGACTTGGTGCTTCAAGTATGAACCTCGAACAAAGTGCCAAAGTGCTACGTGGAAATCTCCAGGCTCTCCAAAATCAAAAAAATTGCGATTCCAGAAGTCCCGAGAGAAGACAATGTTAATTTGCTTTTACGATTCTAAAGGAATCTTCGGGAATTCGTTCTACTGGGACAAAATGTTAATGGCGAATATTATCTGGCTGTTATGGAACATTTGTGGAAGAGGATCATTCGTGTGAGGCCCGAATATCGAGCGCCGGGAAGTTGGTTTCTGTTGCATGATAACGCACCATGTGAACTGTCGCTGTTCGTGAATTTTTGACGAAAAACCAAGTCTGTTCCAACATCCTCCAAATTCTGACTTATCTCCATGTGATTGCTTTCTTTTTCCAAAACTGAAATTAGCTATAAGAGGAACGTTTTATAACACTGTCACATATGTGATACATACGTGAGTAGTGGTCGAGATGCGTTACAGTATTTCGATAGTTAATTGCACTCGAAAGGTGACCATTTACTTGAACTTTTTAACTGAATTTGCTCTGTTGCACGTGCGTATAAACACAGTGAAACAATGAATGACAAGTTCAGTCAGTGAACTTTCGAACGAAATGTTTTGGAGCTGACAACAGCAAAAATGAGTGCGGAGGATTAATACTGACAAATATGAAGTTTTATGAGAATAATAATGGAAATCTTGTTTGAGCCATTATTTAAATGTTTGAACACGAATTTTGTGACATTCTTGGAATAATGATTGAATATGAATATTGAAAGAAACATTTCTGAAGACAAATTTTGTTTAAAACTTTCGAATTCACTTAAATAGATAAACGTGCAGAAATATTACTAAAATTATAGCACAGATCATTCGAATTCTGCAATTATAGAATTCTTGCAAAAATAATTAAATTCTACAAAAATAATTTGCAGAATAATATAAAAATAAAAAGTAAACTCACGAATTGTTAGAAATCTACAATAAACATGAAGGTCGAAAATACTGTTACTAATGTAACATGTTTCCCCCAGATCTCGTGGTTCACTAAATTTCCAAAAACTGATCTTTCATTTCCATACCGATATAAAATAATTTATTAAGGAAAATGTCAAAACTGTTTCAGACCCCTTGAACACTTTTACGTTCATGTTATATTCACTTCGAGCAGAACGCACGGTTATGAAAGAAACATGAACATCTCAGGTAGCCCGGTTATAAATTAACCATAAACATTTCAAGTATTCCAGAAACGTTTGATTATTAATACGAGTACCCTGTTTAAATCGATAATTAAATTGATGGATATAACGTACATGTACGATGAATATAATTTAGTAGTAATGTAATGTTTCTTCCTACGAAAATAATGGTTGCAATAATTTTAGAATGCTGCGAGGCAATTTTAGAAGTGTCCATTTCAACATCATAATCACTAGATTTAGTCTCTGAATCGGACCAATCAAAGTTGAAGAGTGAAACGAGAAATAAGTAATGATCTACAAGTACTCTGGGACAAGTTGAAGATGTTGGAGAAGAATGGAGCAAAAGTTCGCTAAAGACTTTGGTGCTTGATACGAGTCTGCTCTAAGGAGGATTAAGGCTGTATTGGTCGCAAAAGGTGGCTCAATAGTATATACCTACATGGAACACGAAAGTCAAAGTTAACTTCCGAAATGGGACGATTAAATTTACGAATACCCTGCGGACGATAAATTAAGATATAACTGGCTTCATTGATATAACTATCTTCTTTTAACTTGATGTAACTTTCTTCGTTTAATTATTGAATATTAGGCTTTTACGAAATGTAGACTTTTGACTTATCAAAATATAATATGTCTCTGGCATATTATATGTTACTTAGGGCACTGCTTGTTTTTTATTAGGACAAGTATTTAAACACGTTCTTTTTATTTAAAAAAAAATTTATTTTAAGAAATTTAGATTGAAAGAAAATTTTACTTTATAGGAATTAAATGAGTATATTAGTATAATTTATAGTAATATAAAGTAGCTTAAATAATTTTATGGTGGAACTGCATGATTGAATATTTCATATTGATACACTAATTTGTAATGGATGCAATTATTTTGCAATATTTTTACCGTTCTACAATGAACGTGTGTTACATAGAGAGCATGGTGGGACTCTGTAGAGGAAATGGCGACGTAGGGGAAAATAACCCTACCTCCCCACTTTTGTTTGGTGAATCTTCAAACAAAGAACACTTCCAAATATAGAAATTTAGATATTAATACGAATATTTAAAAATTTGACAAGTTTGGAAATATGAAAATTCAGGTATTTGTAAATTTTAGAATTTACAAATTTGAAAATTAGGAAATTTAGTGATTTGGAGATCTAGCATTAAAAATTTAGAATTTAAATACTTTTAGATATGAGCAATTGTGGGTTTGAGAATTTAGATGATTTAGGAATATGAAAAGTTAGCAACTTAGGAAGTTGGAAACTTGCAAAATTTAAGACAGATTGGGATTTGAAAATTGCACGATTTAAACACTTTTTAATCTGAATATTTAGAGGATTGAATAATTGAGAAATTTAGTGATTTGAGAACTTGGAAAATGAAGAACTTTGAAAAATTTTGAAATTGAGAAATGTAAGAATTGTTAATTTATAAATTTGAGAACAAATAAATTTGGAAATTGATATTTAAAAAATATGAAAACAGAGAACTGAAATTTCTATAAAATTTGAACATTTAGCAAAAGAAAGTCTCCCTTGCACCCAAACGCACCCACACAGGTATGAACAAAATTGCACGAAAAATTAAGCTCCGCAAAATTATCAAGAATTCCAATTAAGTCGTTAAAATGCGTAGCAACTAAAATTTCCCGAACAACAAAAATCACAATACACATCCGGAAGTTCACTCCGAAAATACCCAAAGCCATTGAACAAATTGCTCGTAGCGAACGTGCTGCGAACTTTCCTAACACTATCAGCATCCTCGAAACTGCATCACGAGTTTGCAAAGGCAAAACAAGAAAAGAGCAGAAAAGAGCGGTGAAGCCTTTTATCGTGAGCCCGTGATTTCCATGTTCCTTTCATGTGTAAAAAAAAAAGGGAGAGAAAACGATATCCGAAACAAACACGATCGATCGAGATTTCCTGAACGGCTCGATGAAACCATCCGGCGAATAATTACCGGCGGGAACGTGATCGCGTTTACCACTTCCGGTGGCCGGGGATCGCGTCGAATATATTCGTCATTTTCCAATATGCTTCTTTTGCGGTCGTCACATGTCTCTCGCGCGGCGATAACTGTGGAGAAAAGCGAAGAAACGCGACGCACAATGCACTGACGACGATACGCGGCACACTGAGGACGGCGAGCAGCGACGTCGTGACGCCGAGCGTCGCGCAGACCGACACGCCTCGCGGCGACGCTCGGGAAACCTCGTGCGAACGTTGGACGACGTCCAATACGACGCGAGGCGTCCTTTTGCACCGCGTCCCTTCGAAATTGCCGAAACGTGGATTAAGTTCCGAAATTCAATTTAACTGGATATATGTGAAAATTATATAATTTGATACGTGTGAAGAATTCATGTGAAGCTACATAAATTTGTAAGCTTTCAAATTCTAAATTGTACCAATTTTCAAATTATCTAAGTACCGAAATTGACTTTAACGATTCGATATATGTGAAAATTACGTGCACGATATATGTGGAGAATACTTGTGAAGCTTCCTAAATTTTTATTCTCCCAAATTTTGAATTTTACAAGTTTTCAAATTATCAAAGTCAAAAAATTGTGTTTAACGATTCGATATACGTGAGAATTATCTGCAGGATATGTGTGGAGAATTCCTGTGAAGCTTCCCAAATTTTTATTCTCCCAAATTTTTAATTTTACAAGTTTTCAAATTATTAAAGTCAAAAAATTGTATTAAACGGTTCGATATATGTGAGAATTATCTGCAGGATATGTGTGGAGAATTCCTGTGAAGCTTCCCAAATTTTTATTCTCCCAAATTTTTAATTTTACAAGTTTTCAAATTATCAAAGTCAAAAATTGTGTAAAACGATTCGATATATGTGAGAATTATCTGCAGGATATGTGTGGAGAATTCCTGTGAAGCTTCCCAAATTTTTATTCTCCCAAATTTTTAATTTTACAAGTTTTCAAATTATCAAAGTCAAAAAATTGTGTTTAACGATTCGATATATGTGAAAATTATCTGCACAATATGTGTGAAGAATTCATATGAAATTCCCCAAATTTTTAATCTTTTAAATTTTAAATTCTGCAAATTATCAAATTATGTAAGTTCCGAAATTAACTTTAACGATTTGATATATGTGAATGTTATCCACACGTCACTTGTGAAGAATTTATGTAAAGTTTCCCAAATTTCTAATCTTGCATATTCTACAAACTTTCAAATTATCTAATTCTCGATATTGAATTTATGGATTCGATATATGTGAAAATTATCTGCACGATATGTGTGAAGAACTCTTGTGAAGCTTCTCCTAAATTTTTATACTTGTAAATTTCTAAATTTCTAAATTTTTATTCTTGTAAATTTTTAAACTTCTAAATTTTTAGTCTTGTAAATTTCTTAATTTCTGAACTTTTACTCTCGTAAATTTTTTAATTTCTAAAATGTAAATTTCTACATCTGTAAACTACCTCACTCCTAAATTTCGAAATCGTTCAATTTCTAAATATCTAAAGAAGTTTTATAAACGCAGGAATTTACCAGCCAAAAAGCAACCAACGTTTATCTTTCTCCGATTCCACTAGTTTCCCTCGGGAAACCTAATATACACGCGACTGTGCAATCTAAATTGTGAAATTCGTAGTCAACCACGAAAACTACTTACTCAATACGTAATTAACAGTGTCGCAATTTCGTATTTCTAACCAAACCGACCGAGAACATACAATTTCGTAGATAAAATTTGTTTCCTTAGAAAAGCAGCGAACAGGTCGTTATTAGAATAAAAGAGAGTTTGTGGAAGTCGAAAGATCTTTCAGCGAACGAAATTCAAACGGAAAATTAGCAAAAGCGAAGGAAATGGCGCTTACGCGATTTCGCCAGAAAACTATTGTGAGACTTTAGCTCTCTCCTTTCAAATGCTTTCTTAGAAGCTAAAAGTTGCTGGCTCGTTGCAATTAATCACCTGGTTAACTGTGGAGCTTCTACGAAAACGTAAAAACTTTATCTTGGCGAAGATCATCTACAGTTTTGTTGCAAAGTAGATTTTAGTCATTACTGTATTAATAGAGCGATGGTAGAAAAATATTCTGTTAGTAGTCAAATTGTAACAGTAAAATATTTTGTAAATAACAAAATAACAATGAAAAATATTGTATGAACTTCGATATTAAAAAAATTTTTTGTAAATAATATAGCAATATAAAATTGTATAAGTAATAAAATAATAAGAATATATTCTGTAAGGAATAAGATAGTGACAAAATATCATGTGAATAAGTAATAAAATACATTCACAATTAACTTGTGAAGAAAACTTCAATGAATAAAACAAATCTAGATACAACCATTCAAATTTTTCAAATTTGTTACATTAACTAAATGCACTATGAACATCAGCCTTGTAACAAAGAAAAAGATAGTAAAACCACAGTACCTTCTAAAAATTCCCATAAAAAAATAGCAGAAAACAAAAAGCAAGAAGTTCAAACATAACACGAAATAGGTGTTAACCAAAAGATCTCAAAGGAACGATGAAGACATCGTTTCCTAACTGTACTCTGTCCTCCAACTTCTTGCTTTCTCTTCTTCGCCCTACGGTCCATGACATTAAGCCGAATGGCACAAGTATTTTTGACTTGTGGTGGTTTAAAGCTATTTCAGTATCAAAACCTCGACTCCTTCGTTCTTTCCCTGCCCTCTATAGTAGTTATTCGTTTTATTTCTCCTTTTCTTTTCCAAGGTAGTTTTCTTTAGATACTTATAGGGGAATCAAAGAAAATTTCTTGACATTTTCAAACGAGATAAAATACTTGCTATGAATAATATTTTATTGAGTTAGATAAGGTAGTTTCAAATGTAATCTTTGGGGATTAATTTTTTGGGACAAAGAGATGGGCATCTTGGGAACAAAGATATCTTGGATTTAAATTCTAGCTGAATTCTAGCTTAAATTGTCCAAATCAATTTTTGGAGACAAAGACTCATTCACTTGAACCTTACATTATATCTAGCTGCATTGTGTGGAAGGATGATATACTCATCTTATACTACATTCACATCAAGTTTTGGAGACAAAGATACACTCATTTGGATCTTACATTATAGCTAGTTGCATTGTGTGGGAGGATGATATATACACCTTGTCCTTACATCTACAACAAGTTTTGGAGACAAAGCATACTCTCATCAGGACCTTACATTATAACTGGCTGAATTATGTGAAACAAAGATATACTCATCTTGTTCTTGTACTACATCCACATCAAGTTTTGGAGACAAAGCATACTCTCATCAGAACCTTACATTATATCTGGCTGAATTATGTGAAACAAAGATATACTCATCTTGTTCTTATACTACATCCACATCAAGTTTTGGAGACAAAATATACTCTCATCAGGACCTTACATTATATCTGGCTGAATTATGTGAAACAAAGATATACTTATCTTGTTCTTGTACTACATCTACATCAAGTTTTGGAGACAAAGCATACTCTCATCAGGACCTTACATTATATCTGGCTGAATTTTGTGAAAGAAAGATATACTCATCTTGTTCTTGTACTACATCTACATCAAGTTTTGGAGACAAAGCATACTCTTATCAGGACCTTACATTATATCTGGCTGAGTTATGTGATACAAAGACATATTCATATTGTCCTTACACTACATCCACATAAATGTTCAGATACAGAGACATACTCATCTTGCATTTACACTAAATGCACATGAATTTTCTAATACAAAAGACATGTTGATCTGATATTTACACAAAATGTACATGAATTCTCTGATACAAAAAGACATATTGACCTTGCATTTACACTAAATGTCCCTGAATTTTCTAATACCCCATAAAATGTACTTAAATTTGCTGGCACAAAAAGACATATTAATCTTGTATTCTCACTAAACAGCTTTTACACACTAAATGTCCCTGAATTTTCTTAACACAAAAAGACATATTGATCTTTGCCTTCCACAAAACTTCTCCGAATTGTCTAAACGTCTTTCTGCATATCTCTGTAAATGAATCCCTCAGGTAGTCCTCAGAAAAAATCATGAATCCCACAAGACATAGAAATGTCCATATCTTCACACTAAATTCTTCCGAATTTCGTAAGACACATAAAAGCGCACCAGGAGATCTCACCGTGATGATTCCTCGCTAACTACCCTTCTCTCGGTTGTCATTGACCCTCGACTAATTCCAGGCAGCGAAAATAAATCTGCAAATGCTCATGGAACAAAGAGACGAGTCGCGAAGCAACGAACTCGCAGCAGCTTTAGAGATAGAGTGTACGATTTAGACGAATTCTTTGTAAATCGCTTGCAAAGGAAAACGTTGATTCATCGCCGACCTCCGTTGAGCTTTTAAGAATCTTGGACTTGTTCTAGAAATCCTTTATGCTTGCATTGTTCGACGAAAAGCGGAATTCGTTGTAACTAAAGAACTGAAACGGTAGACGCTCTGCAAGGTAAATATGCTAGACCTGGAATTAATCTGGAACAAATTTTTTGTTTATTAAATGGAGATAGTACAGTTTTTGGAGATGGTACAGTTTTTAATTTTGTAGGAAAAATGTAGGAGCTTTTGTAGTTTATGGGTTTTTTGAATTTTTGGTGAGATTTTTGGATTTTTGGGAGTTTTGGGAAATTGTTCATAATGCATGTGACTATAAATTTCCCAATTGAATAAAAGAAAAGATCAGAAACAAATTTATACACATTTCACATGTGCCACTGACACCTCTAATATACAGTTTGTTTTTGATGCTGTAACCGATGTTATTATCAAGAACAACTTGAGTAATTGTGGTTTACTAAGTTAAACGTTTCGATATTCTATTGAATCAAAAGCGCTAGATCGATAATCTAAGGTTTATAAACCGGTATGTAAATGCACAACAAATTCCAAATTTCCCAAATTCCAAACTTCCCAAATTCCAAATTTCCCAAATTCCAAATTTCCCAAATTCCAAATTTCCCAAATTCCAAATTTCCCAAATTCCAAATTTCCCAAATTCCAAATTTCCCAAATTCCAAATTTCCCAAATTCCAAATTTCCCAAATTCCAAATTTCCCAAATTCCAAATTTCCCAAATTCCAAATTTCCCAAATTCCAAATTTCCCAAATTCCAAATTTCCCAAATTCCAAATTCAAATTCCAAATTTCCCAAATTTTTCCCAAATTCCAAATTTCCCAAATTCCAAATTTCCCAAATTCCAAATTTCCCAAATTCCAAATTTCCCAAATTCCAAATTTCCCAAATTCCAAACTTCTCAAATTCCAAACTTCTCAAATTCCAAATTTCTCAAATTCCAAACTTCTCAAATTCCAAACTTCTCAAATTCCAAATTTTCTAAATCCCAATTTTCTCAAATCCCAAAATTCCTAAATCCCTAAAATCCCAAATCCCCAAATCCCCAAAATCCCAAATTCCAAATTTCCTAAATCCCAATTTTCTCAAATCCCAAAATTTCTAAATCCCTAAAATCCCAAATCCCCAAATCCCCAAATCCCCAAAACCCCAAATTCCAAATTTCCTAAATCCCAATTTTCTCAAATTCCAAAATTTCTATATCTCTAAAATCCCAAATCGTCAAATCCGCAAATCCCCAAATCCCTAAATCCCCAAATCCCCAAATCCCCAAATCTTCAAACTACTAAAATTCTAAAATCCCAAAATTCTAAAACTCAAATCTCTAAAGCAAAAATTTGCAAAATAATAAAATACCATAACAAATTTCACTATACATAAAAAAGACAAGAATATTTCAACTGATTAATTCAAACTACGTATACATCTCCGAACACCTTACACAATGTTCATAGTTCATAGTTCATACAATAAACTCCCAATCCGTGCAGACGTATGTCACCGAAGTGTCAGAAATCGAAGACATATGGAATGTTACTGAAGATCGAACAATGATCATGAATTACGGTAGTTCTCCGTATGACGACTCGATACACGCGCATTGTGGCTTACCACGAAGTTAGGTAGTGCTAATTACGAATACCGTGTCCGAATTACATCCTGTGATTGCGTGAACATGAATTTTCTCTTATCGATTGAAACCAGTCGAGTAATGAAGAAGAATGGTTGTAACGAAAATCCCGTAACAATTTATTAGTGAAGATTTCAATTTTGATAATCCTATATTTATGGGGCAAAAGATTTATTAGATTCATAGGAAAATAATTGCAGCTTTTATTATTGTAATTTTTATGATTATTATTTTTTAATTAATTTTGTTAATTATTTTAGTAATAATATTATTTTAATTACTTGTTAATTATTTGTTAAAATAATAATATTTTAATAACTTGTTCATTATTTGTTAAAATAATATTATTTTAATAACTGGTTAATTATTTGTTAATTAAAGATTTTGATAATTAGGGATATTATTATTAATTTGTCAATTTTCAATATTATCATCAATTTGTATTTTCATGTTAAATAATTTTAATAATATTAATTTTCTTCTTTGTTGTTTATTATTTTTTTGTGTTTGTTCAAAATGATATATATTTTTTTTTTTTTAAATAAAATATTTGGTGGATCACAAATTTATTGAAATAATTATTATATAATTTTTACAAACTGTATTATAATATTCATCAAGTTTATTTAAATGTAAAAATAATCAAAATAAACATACTACTAATAATTAACAAAATAAAATATTAAATATTCCTCAGAATTTCACGAATATAAAATTGCCACAATTCTACGTTTAATGAAATAAATTCGATTTTTCTCGAACTAAATTCCTAATAATTTCGTAGAAGCCCAAGAATAGCCGAGTTCATGCTCTGAAAGGGTTAATTCATGCTTATTAATTAACACGACCACCAGTCTGGCGTCAATTCTATTAAATATCGATTAACATAGCTTAAGGTTATAACAAAGATATTGTCACGAAATGCTCGATGAAACGCACTGTCGATCCGCAAAAAAATCCGTTGAAACAAAAATATACGATACATTCAATTAATCTATTCAATCTTAATTCGGAATCATTCGTGGATTATTAATAGCATACCTGGAATTCTGTTGCACCTTCGATTTAATTACGAAACGTTATTAGAACGCAGTCAGAATTCCATAACCATTAATTTCGATACAAATCCTTCGTAAATGATTTGTTGATTAATTTAATTACTGACTTAACCCTATTTATTAATATTTTAGTTTATACATACTGTTTAACTGTAACGTTTTAATTTTTGAGAGTTGCACAGAGAATTGTATTACAAAAATTTTTTCTTCGATATATTGTCAAGAATATATACTAAAAATATATAGCAAAAAGAAAAATATAGTAAAATATAGTAAAATAAAATGCAAGAATTTAGGTACTGATATTCACAAAGACGCTGGCCAAATCTAATTCCAGAAGCATTGCCGATACTATTATCATGAGCCTTTGACAGGTAAGTGACATATCACTATAGATATGGGCTATATAAACAGTATTAAGTGCATATGTAGTGAAACCATGTAATCAGTGGTAGAGTTAATACCTGAACAGGTGCTCGGTTATGTCAACAAATTATAAACCGAGATGACTCATGTCACTTGACACATTATGTTTTATTATATTCAAAAATAAAATTGTGGGAGTCCATCGATCGAGTGGATTATATCCTCTTATTCCGTTTACCAGATATTGGATTCTTACTCGTCAAATTACTTGATTCGATCCTTGTAACATATTACAATAATATATTTAATAATATTAAATTTAAATAGTCCTTGTGTTCAAACCTACATTTACATAATAAAGGTTATAACTGAGTGCAAAGTTAGTTTTCATAAAATTTGCATAAAATACATAATTCTATTTATTTACTTAATACACAGTAACTTTTACCTATTAAGTTTTTAAAAATGTTATAAACATTTGAATTACAATGTCTTCATAAATAAATATGACAGGTCGTACAATAAGAAAATTGAAAAACTGTCATTATAGATTCATTTTGTAACACTCTAGAGATAATCTCGAAGGCGCCAATTTTGAATTGGCAATATCGCCCTCTAACCTAGAGTACCCACCATTTTTTTATATTTCATTTTTGCCTACTATGTATATTACCTCATTCCATAAAATTACATTAAAATTAAAAGCTCTTAATTTTCTAAATATCAGATACCATTTTTGTTTAATAACCAAGATGTGCAAAGTAACACGTTCCGACTATTTCAATTATACTCGTGTTTTCCGCATTGACGAACCGCGTTGATCGAACATGTAACACGATTATAGTATCGGTTATCAACTACGTTCTATACAGTGTGTTCCAGTTAAGTTATCTCTATTTTCACTATAAACGTCGAAAGAAATAATTATCAGAAACAAATATGATCTCAGAGCATAGTAACAATAAAATTATTCATTTTAAGGTTATTGTAAATGTCCTTCCAAGGTCTTTATGAAATCGTGAAAATGATGTAGACGTTTAGATGGTACACCCTGTATGGCATTTTAATGAACTGGATCGATCGGTAACGTAATGTAATTGTACTGTTTATGGCGATCCTTAATTGTGAAGCATTACATTCCTTTGAAATATTAATGGCTTGATAATTGATACCTATTCGTGATTTTATCATCCCTACCGTTCCACTCTTTACCTTATTTTTATCTACCTTATCAAATATCAATAAATCTCAAAATTTTTGTATTTTCAAATTTAGAAAATTTGCGTCATATAAATGTATACATTTGTTAATAAAACTGTAACCTCTCGGCGTACTGTAATGGGATTTTAAAAAATTCAAATAACAATAACCTACCTGTGAAACTCTCCGAACCGCTATTTGTTTCCGCTTCCTATTCGCGGTATTATATTTAAACAACCGAAGCGTGGCGGTTAAATATTCATACTTTCATAAACCGGAAAAACAAAGTTATTTGCCATAATAAGTGTGTACAGGCAAATGATATTTCAGTAAAAAAAATATGAGCAATAATGCACATGTATTAAAAATATTATATTTTAAAACATGACGAAGTTTGCTGAAAAAATATTTGCACTTACCTATAAATTTAGTGCTGTTCTTTCCGCACCTGTTTCCCCTTCAAGATTTCATCCATTAATGATAGAAGAAACAAATAAACTTTTACCACTGTAAATCAGATGCGCACAAAATAATAGATTATTAAAAATCCGCGAACTAGAAACACGTATATTTGTAAAATCACTGACCGGTAATGCGCGCTTTATAATTACTCGTTGTTATGTTGGCTCACTGTACGGGAATCTAGGAGAATTTGCTTGTCATGTTGGTAATAATATGTTTACGGCTTACATTGAATAAAATAGTGATTTGTTTGCGGCGTTTTTGTGCGAGCTGAGCAAAGAAATAAATGGGCGTGTAGGAAAGAAACTTTTGTTTCTGTATTATTAATAAAATGGAAGCGAGTGCCGAACAGGCCCCTGTGGCTACAGAAACCGTTCCTAATAATGAACAGGAGCACAATGAGGAGGGTATGGAAGAGACTGAGGATTACAGTTTCGATGGAGAAGATTATAGGCATTTTGTACCACGGGGTCGAGGAGGCTTTAGGTGCGTTATAGTTTCTCTTAACACCCCATACATCCCCACTTTACGCGTTGTCCAAAATACGAAAGCAAAAAGTAAGGTTAGGTTGTCCCCTCATGATACTTTTGCCTGACCTCCTAATGTATGCTTGACGAAAACGATCAAACTTCGCATTGCTACGAGCTCCTTACACCTTAATAAATACTCTATGGTAACGCGACTATTGTTTCCATTTACGCTCCTATACGACGAGATTATTTGCCCATTATTGTTCAGTGCTGTGTTTAATCAGTTGTATTGTAAATTTTCTGTAATAACGAAGGTCCGTTTGTGATTGTACATTGGTTTTCCACGTTGTGAAATATATGATGCAAAAAGGTAATGATATTTTAAAAAATATTTACATTTTTATCTCAGTAGTAGTAAAGTTAGTTTGCACATGAGAAATACTTGATGCGGATGTAAAATTATTACATTGTTGTTCAATTTTATTTAACGAATTCAAAAGTAGAGTCAGAAGAATGACGACGTCTACGCTTGGGTAAATGATTAAGACGTATGGTACGTAAAGTACATAGTCACGATATATAACAATAATTTAAGGGGTCGTGGCAGAGGTGGGTTTGATTTCCCCATGAGAGGTGGGCCTCCAAGGTTTAGAGGAAGAGGATTTGGACCTAGAGGACCAATGTTTCGTGGCGCGAATAACGGATTTCCATTTGAGGGACCTCCTAGGCCGAATTGTCCACCGGGTCCTGCAGGCCCACGCTTTCGAGGACCACCGCCATTCGATCCTAGCTGGGGACCTATGGGGCCACCAAATCTGATGGGACCGCCGAATCTTATGGGACCTCCAGGAATGGTAATTATTATTCGAGGTTGAAGTTTCCTCAAGTTTATTCCAGTAAATTGAATTAAGTATAATTTAACTTTATGTGCGATTAGCCACCGCCACACATGATGAATGGCCCAATTGGGACAGGTCCGGGACCATACGGACCACCTCCTGGAATGGGACCACCAAATATGAATAACGTAAATTTTAATTTACAGAAACATAGTGGACTATATAAATACTACTTTATAACGGGAGAAATTTTGTTATAGATTCCAGGTCAGCAGCAGCCCCAGCAGCAACAGGCACAACAGCAAGCAAACATTCCAGGCTTAGATCTCAATGGAGAAGTGTGGGTAGAAACAAAAACACCGGATGGCAAGTCATATTATTATAACATTCGTACAAGGGAAACTACATGGACGAAACCAGAGGGACCAAATGTCAAGGTCATGGTGCAAGACCAGGTGTGTTCTGTTATTAAAACATAGTTTACATTGAAAATCTGTATTATATATATAAATTCAGTGAATGTTTCTATAAAACAATATTAATTTTTGTTACAGTTAGAACAGTTGGTACATGGAGCATCTAAACAAACAGCTCCATCTAATACACCTACATCTACAACTACTACTCCCAGTCAAATTAGTGAAAATAGAATTTCTCAAAGTAATGAACAACCTCCTACAAATAATGCAGATGCTATTAATCAACTTAGTACTGCTCCTCCTGGTACAGGTCCACCTCCTACACTTGGTGAAACACCAAATGTCAACACACAGCCAACTGACGCAGCACAAGCAAATGGTACTTATCTAAATTGTTTAATCTATTAAAATTAGTACATGTAAAATACACTAGAAATATTAGATAACATTATATTTCATATGTAGGTACAGCACCTGCAACTGTTACTAACACTCCAGCTATGAACACCCCAGCAGTAAATACAAATATGATGCAACCCCCTCCCAATATGATACCTATGCAACATAGAATGCCAAATCAGTTTGGTGGACCAATTGCAACACAATTTGGAGCAGCACCATTTGGTATGCCACCGCCAGGTTTTCAACCATTTGGAGGTTATGGTCCACCACAAGCGAATTGGGGTAATACGAACTATGTATTATGTCAAAATTAATCATTCAGTTATCAGTGTAATTCTCTAATGACATAATTGTATGTTAGGTATACCACAAATGCCACATGGTGTAATGACCCCGCAAGCCCCAGCAGAAGATCCCGCTATATTAGCACAACTTGATCAGGAGTTAGTAGCATCTGCTATGGTATGGACCGAACACCGTGCACCGGATGGCAGGTTATATTATTATAATAGTAAAGCTGGAGAATCTGTTTGGGAGAAACCGCAAGCTTTAAAAGATCTCGAAAGTATGTTATTTACAATTTTCAAGTAGATTATGTAATATAAAATATTATATAATATATTATTCCATCAGATGCAAAATTAGCGTTACGGCAGAAAGCAGAAGAAGCAGCTGTGAATTCTACTAACACTGCTGTGACTAGTTGTACTGTTACTAATAATAACGTTGCCGCTGAACCTGTAAAACAAGAAAAACCGCAGGAAAGCAATCATGAAACCAAAGATAGTGCGAAGGAAGCAGATACTAATAAACCGAAAAAAGAGGAAACAGCACCTAAGGAAGCTGCTAAACCTCAAGATAAATCTAGACCAATTTCTAGTACTCCAGTGCCTGGAACCCCTTGGTATGCCTTCTGCCACTAATTTAATTCTCTCGTATATAAAATATAAATCTGAACTTTGTTAATTAGGTGCGTCGTTTGGACGGGAGATGGACGCGTATTTTTTTACAACCCTTCTTCGCGTATTTCGGTTTGGGAAAGACCAGACGATCTCATTGGCCGTCAGGATGTCGACAAAATGGTGTCTACTCCACCGGATGCGGTGGTAGCTACAAAAACCCCTCGACAATCGGACACGAGCGAAAGCAGCGACGATGATCAGCCTACGCCAGCGAAAAAGATGAAACAGGAGGATACAAAAAGTAACTAATATTGCATTCATGATGACATTCTAATAGATCATTTTTAAATAAATACTTCTACCGTTTCGGGTGTAGCGCCTAAGGAAGAAGAGGAGAAGGAAAGCAAAAAGACTATCGATATCGGAAAAGAGGCTGCGATCGAGGCGGAAGTTCGGGCGGCTAGGGAGAGAGCTATTGTTCCTTTGGAGACACGAATCAAATCATTTAGGGATATGCTTGCAGAGAAGGATGTAAATAATTAATACAATTGACACATCAATATGGCGTTATGTCATTTATTCATATTGTTTTCTAATAGGTATCCGCGTTTAGTACATGGGAGAAGGAGCTTCATAAAATTGTATTTGATCCCCGTTACCTGCTTTTGACGTCAAAGGAGAGGAAACAAGTTTTCGAGAAATATGTGAAGGAGAGAGCTGAAGAAGAAAGACGGGAAAAGAGGAACAAAATGAAGGAACGGAAAGAACAATTTCAGAAACTGCTGGAAGAAGCTGGTCTTCATGGAAAGTATGTAAAAGTTTACGAAGGATTTAAATTGTAAACAGTGATACTTTTTTTAGGTTATAATAACGTAATGTCTTTTGTTCAGATCTTCATTTAGCGATTTTGCTCAAAAACATGGGCGTGATGAACGATTTAAGAATGTAGAAAAGATGCGTGAACGGGAGAGCCTATTCAACGAATATCTTCTGGAAGTGCGAAAGAAGGAAAAAGAGGAAAAAACAGCAAAACGAGAACAGGTATTTTTATTTTATTGCCGCTACTGATTTTATTGCAATGCAAACGTTATTTTTCAGGATTTGTGCGACAATATCAGAATTGAAACATTACTTTCAATATTCGTTATTTTATTCAATACCATAAGTAAGAAAAGTTTCCCTATAGTCTTAATTCTATTTGCGCGATAAAAACATAGAATTTTGATAGATACTCGAGAATTAAGGTACTCTTTTAATTTTCTTTCATTTTTTTAGCTATAGTTATTACAAAAAAAATTTGTTCATACCGATTTATAATATTTAGTAGTATAATTTGAATTTTTATGTTAAGTTTGATCTTCTATATTATTTTTTTATTATTTGAAGATAGTTAATTTTTTATCTATTATTTAGTACCTTAATTCTCTACATATATCAAAATATAAATCAAAAGTTCTTTTTTTAATAACATCCATCAAACCGTTCCTTCTTCCACACCAGACCTCATTAAGGTTTTCATTCATACACCTTTCATTTTGTTTAAGGGAATTGTAATAGAAGTATCAAATAAAAATCTAGATATAACGCATACTCGCGATAAATATAAAAGCTGGATAAGTTTTCGTCCAGCATCGCTCTTTACATGGAAACAAAATTGATATTATTTTAATGTTCAAAAAAGATGATTATAGATTAATGATGAATAATATTTTACAATATGACATGATATATAAGAGATGAGTAATAAGTAGACAAAAAATGTTCTAATCTTAAATAGAAGATCATAATTGTCTAATACATTTATATTTTCAGCAATAATTAATCATTCTTTCAGGTTCTATAGGTATGTTAACTATTTTGTTCCACTTGTAAGATTTATCTAATATGAATTCCTAAATTAACGGCTGAAGAACACATACCAGGAGAAGTTTCTCTAAATAATTCTCTACTCCAGTAGATTTTCTCGATAGACAAAAGTTTTGTAGCTGTAAGATGGGAGATGTAGAGAATAAAATCTTAGTATGTGACGGTTCCTTATATACTTATGTGTTCTGAACTCTCCACTTCAGTCAGGAGGCAGGCAGGACAGGTTCCGTATGTGGAGTGGCTTGGTTCTGAAGCTGGTTGGTGGCATGGATGATGTCATCTACCATCCCCACCTACACTGCGTGGCACAGTTGGCACACCCTCGCGCGCCGCATTCTTTACTCCAAAGCAGAGTCATGAGAATGAACGAACTCGGTATTTGTATATTACTCGTAATCCTCGTTACTTCAAAAGATTAACTTTTCCCCCAAAAAAATCAAATCCAATTTCAAAAAGAATTCAATGCAATTTATTGTCAGTATAACTAGGGGTATCAAACCCTGTGGTAGCATCAGTTCCACATATTTTGCAATTTTTTATTCTGTTCCGTGGAGATAAAGAACCGTTATTTATTTAAAAAAAGCAAAGCTACCAATCTCTCTTACATGCAATGTATCAACATAAGAACAAAAAGATACAACTGTTCTTGTACTCTCTTCTATTTGCACAAGCTTTAGTAATTGTAAAAGGGGAAGTTTCAACAAAAGTTCTAGATTTCCAGCAGCTGTTCTTATGTCCATACATGGTGTATTAAAATTAAAATTTGTAAATGAAAAATTGCCACCTATATCTATTTATTCAGAAAATGCATTTCAATTGGTGTACAGATAATTTTTTCATTTACTGTTGCTTTTTTTGCATTACGATAAAAGGATGAACATTTAACTTGAAATATAATGCAAGCAATTTTTCTTTTTCTTTTTTTTATTTTTTAAGGAAATTAATATATTTGAAGCAACAAGATGAGTATATTAAAATAATAGAATGAGCGTGCTTTTTGTGAAATTTGATCTATATACTTCAGAGAACCTTGACTGCTTTTGTCTTAAGAATAATAAGAAGTGGACATTGGAATGATTGTGTTTAGATGAAAGTTAGACCACTGTGGTACAAGTTTGTTACTGCTTTAAAATTGTGGTAGGATCAGGATCCGAGTAATGACTGTAATTGAAATTCAAGACCGAAATATGCCAGCAACTCTGAACTCTAGTCATCTTTCATTGCGAAATATACGTGTATTAAGTTTATTTAAACATGGTAACAAATTATTATCTTTGTTATATTGAAATCCTAGGTCGTTCACAAATTACGTAATGGGAATTTAAGAATACGTCAAATATTTTTCTTCATACTTACTTATACCTATAACAAAAAGAAATTAAAGGAACCAGAAACATACTTAATCTTAGTTGTAACATAAAATTTGCTTTAATAGTTAAATTTTTAAATCATAAAGCAACTTAAAATTTTGACAGTAAAAAGATTTGAAGGTTCCATTTAAATTCATTTAAAAATTTTCTTTATTTTTTTGTTTTTAAATTTTGTTGTATCATATTCATATTATGCATTGTGATCATAAACTGCTTTTGTAAATAATAACGATAACATAGATTTATACGTTTTGAAAAGGTATAATGCAATGCTTAGGAAAAATAAAACCTCGTTTCGTAATTTGAACGGCTGACAGCTTTTAATATTTGCAAAATCTCGTGATGAAATATAATACTAACGATTTTGTTCTTTTCAGCAAGGGCAGCAGATAAAAATTTACTCATTTTACAGTCCGTCTCATCATTAAATGAGCATATTTCTTTTATTATTTGTATGATAAATTTTTATAAACATAAATGTTTATCCCTGTTTTGGTATGCAAAATATTTAATGATGATTCGGTTATTTAATAATTATTTTTGCAGCTATAATGAGTGTAATTTTTTTCCAGCAAAACCGACCAGCTTATTTCATTAAAAATTCCAACAAGTAGAGCCCTTAACGTTGTGATATCTCCTGACACGAACGAATGACACGAATGACTATTTCTTCTACCCCTAACGAAATGTAGTTTGAAAACCAATAAAAAGGTTTGCAAGTTGAAATAGTTTGATCCACATTACAAGTCATTAATTTCTATATACTATCGTTATAAAAGTGATTGTAATGTGGTTGAACGTGTAATAATTATTGGTTGAAAATTCTTAAGCGTGCATGATAAAACTGAGACAAGCAAAAGAATAAAGAAATTAAAAATAAAAGAATATATATCGATAAGAAAGTTCAATCTTAAGACAGAATTGTATAAAAATAGAGTGTAAGCAAGAGTTGATTATTTTTCAATGATGAAAACTCTTAACGTAAATGCGTTTCAGGTGAAAAAGGAATTCTTTGCGATGCTACGTGAACACAAAGACATCGACAGGCATTCGCATTGGAGTGATTGTAAGAAAAAATTGGAATCTGATTGGAGGTACAGAGTGGTAGAATCTGCAAGCACGCGTGAAGATTGGTTTAGGGATTACGTTCGTATGCTAAAGGAGGAGAGGAAAAAGGAGAAAGAGAAAGACAAAGATCATCGACACAGGGACAAAGATCATCACAAATCGGACAAGAAAGATAGGGACAGAAAGGATGTTGATAAGTACAAGGAGAAATCGTCCAAGGATCGAGTTGAAAAGGACAATTCGAAGGACAAGAAGCAACGAAGAAGCGAGGCACCAGCAGAAGAAAATGGCAAAGAAAAGAAGGAGGTGGTTCCTGAAAAAGAAAGCGGAGAAATCGAAGATAACGACGAGAAACCATCTAAAAAGGAAAATGATGTATGTCCTGATTATATCTTGACATGTTGATTAATATTGTTACATGTTAAGTTTAACTGTCTTGACGTCAGAAATATTATTAAGAAATTTAATTTGATAATAGTTTACTTGACATATTGATACAAATTGTTACGTATTAAGTTTGACTGTGCTGTCTTTACGTCAGGAATATCGTTAAGAAATTTAATTTAATAATAGTTTACTTGACGTATTGATTCAAGTTGTTACGTATTAAGTTTGACTATGCTGTCTTTACGTCAGCAATATCATTAGAAAATTTTCTCTAGTAGTGTGTATGATACAATCTTCCTTATACCACATATTTAATTTGATAATAATTTACATAACATTCCTTTGTCTAGAAGGAGGATGCAGAAGATCAGTCAGATTCCGAGGAGGATCGTGAGAAACAGAAACGAGAGCGTGAAAGAAGAGCGGAAGCGAGCCTTCGTGAAAGGGAGAGAGAAGTTCAAAGGACTTTAGCTACACATCTTCGTGATAGGGACAAAGAGAGGCAACATCATCGTCACACAGAAGCAGTACAGCATTTCAGTGCTCTGCTTGCAGATCTGGTATGTATTTTACCTTGATTCATTACGAAAATAGTTAAAATGTGTACCTAACCTAACTTGAACGTATGAACAGGTAAGAAATGGCGACCTAGCCTGGCGAGAAGCGAAACGACAGTTGAGAAAAGACCATAGGTGGGAATTAGCGGAGAGTTTAGACCGTGAAGAGAAAGAAAGATTGTTTAACGAACACATAGAACAGCTTAGTCGTAAAAAACGTGATAAATTCCGTGAACTTCTCGACGAAGTGGGAGCCTCAACTGAACTTACCGCGTCGTGGAGAGATATCAAAAAGTTGTTGAAGGATGACCCTAGATATCTTAAGTTTTCTTCTAGCGATCGGGTACGTAATATATTTATATATCTGTGTCATATCAAGATAAATTATAAATTATGATCTCTCTGTTCACAGAAATGTGAAAAAGAATTCAAGGAGTACATTAAGGATAAACTTGTTGCGGCAAAGGCTGATTTTAGGGAACTTTTACAAGTAAGTTAATATTGCATTATAATTTTGTATTTGTAATGTCATCTGTTCTTAACAACTTAAATATAATTTTAGGAAACAAAACTTATTACCGATAAGACATACAAAAAAGTGCAAGAAAATAGTGCACACTTAGCAGAAATTGAAGAAATCTTGAGGAAGGATCGAAGATTTCTAGTGCTGGAAGCAGCAGCTGCTGAACGAACTCGTTTATTAATGGGTTATTTGGAGGAATTGGCACGTAGGGGTCCGCCTCCGCCACCTACTGCCTCAGAACCTTCAAGAAGACCAACCACAAAGTAATTATCGTCTTGATCGAAGCGAAACATATATCAACAAGTGCTTGATTTTGCGGAATGTATTTTTGTTTTAGCTAAGCGAGGGCCGCATCAAAGCATGGTATACATATGGTGTCCAAATAACAAATCAGTGAATGAATTTATAGCTGTAGTTGAATTGAAGTACTTTACACATGAGATGATTATCGCCTGTAATTATAGGATTCAATAAAACTAACGCCAATTCCACACAGCTAAAAATGTGTGTCATACTGTAAAGATGCCATAGTGTAAGCATATCATTATTTGTTAAATTACGTTAAACTAGACACTAGTTAAGAGAGAAATAATTAGTAATGTCGAATAGTGGTATCATAAAGTACGAATTTTATACGTATTTTATCCAGGTTTGTTGCATAAGCACCTCATTGCGAATATTTTGTATGAAAATTACACGAGAATTATGACAACGAGTGTTAGTTACACTCTCGAATAATTTAAAAGCATGTGCAGTGAATTTCTCAAAACCGATGTTAAATTTATTAATTCGAAAATAGAAATCTTGTATTTAAAAAAGAATAAGCATAACGTATGACAATCATGCACGATACAGTTCAGAAATCGTGTTTTCAATTTTTGAATTATTTTGTTCGCGCAGCCGAGTTGGATGAGAAAACCGTAAGTATCTTACAAAATATTCTCGTCTGGATTTATTTGATTCTAAAAAAGACAAGTTGTGAGTGTATTAAAAAGAAATTCGAATGTAGTATTCATAAATAATATCATTTTTCATTTAACCTATGTGGCATTTTTACGGTACAAATTTCTTAATCGGATACGAACAAATGTTAGATAGGACAATATATTTGATGAAAAAAATCGTTCATAAAAATTGCGACGGACAACAGTCACGTAGATTTCGCAACGATCTACGATTACTTGCATTTTATTTCTAATGTTTGATAATATATTTCATTGCAGACTACCGTGTAAGCAATGAAGAGTAATATAAACGTGATCTCATTATAAAACAATCGAAGATCACGAAATTACCGCAGTAATTTATATCTTTTATTATTCGTATAAACAATACCGAGGTGTTTGTTTAATGACCATATAATTATTTTTAATTGAAAATAGAATTTTAATTAATGCAATCATGTAATATTTTAATGTTACAATTATATAAATAATGTATATAAAATAAATACAATAAAATTTGTGCAAGTTGTAACATTATAAAAAAGGTGAAAATTCTTTTTACTTTTTAAACAAGAGTGCACCATTATTATTTTTAGCAAACAGAGTATACTGGCCACATTTAAATTAAATTGATTAAAAAAATAAGAGTTATGACAATATACATATGTATAAAATTCAATAAAAGACAATGTTATAAACAATTAGGCCGATTGTAACATATTTACGAATGAAAGTTAATACGAATATTATTATGATATACATGTACATTTTATGAGTCATAAGCAACAATCACTGTTCATCGTATGTAAACACAGTATCGTGGAAGAAATTTTTGGAGGCACATTGTTCTGATAAACATTCTATAAAAAATATAATTCAGTTCTTTTTATAGAGGCACTGTGATGAACGTCTGAAACATTTTAATAACTCGTGTTCTGTCAGTAATGATATCCTGATAAGGAAGATATATCTTGTATCAGGGATTAACGCTTCATTTTATCGAGTATCGGAACAACCATATCAAAAGATGGGCGTTTTCCGGGATCTTCGTTCATGCAAATTTTAATGAGTTTCGCAAGGTGCGGTGAGATTCCTGGAGGTATACTAACACGCAAATCCTCCAACGCGATCTACAATTAATTGAACAGATGTAATTAATACAATGAAAATTTGTTACATTCATAATGTGATAATTTTAAACCAACTTTCATGCCGCACTCCATAGGCGAAAGATCTGCAAACGGAACTTCTCTAGTCGCAAGTTCCCATAATAAAACGGCAAAGCTCCACATGTCGCTAGCTTCGAGATTTATATCGGCTGGTCGTTTGCTTAAAGCTCGAGATTTATATCAGCTGGTCGTTTGCTTAAAGCTTCCGGAGACATCCACGCCGGTTCGTAAATTCGGCCCACTTCTTGGAATGAAAATTTCGAATCTGCCATATTGACGCGAGCCGTCAGATCTTCGTCAATCTGCAAATGTTGAATTGGACCATTACCTTATATAGTTAGGAACGCGGAGACTCAACGCGTACTAATGATTAAAAGAACTATACCATAATATGTTTGCTATTTAAATGAAATCTACATCTGTTTTGTCTTTCGAGACCATGAAGGAAAGCCATAGCTCTAGCAACGTCGAGAGCTAACCTAAGTGCACGAGCTGTATCAACAACGACGCCTGTACCTCCGTGTAAAAGTCGATGCAAACTCCCACGCGCCATATATTGTGACACCGTCGCCAATTGCGGTGGCTGATTAACGCAACCGAGAACCGGCAATACGTTAGGATGTGAAAAGATTCGTAATTTAGGAAATTCTTCGTTGAAATCTCTTGAAATTCGCGCTGTACATTCACGTATGTTCAAAATCTTTGCCACTATATCATTGTTTTGCCAACGACCTCTCCAAGTCTCTCCACTTGGGGTACTGGCTAAGTGGGTGTGTAAAGATAAATCCGCCATGTTTATTCCTTTGTGTCTTGATAGTGTTGCATCTCCTATGCAATTGGATATTAATAAACATTATACAAATTCATCAATATCTACAGCCTCATACAAGATTACTTACTACTTCTTGTCTTCAGACCCAACCAGCTCTGATCTTTAAACTGAATCTTCTTTAAATCTTGCCCATATTCTACAGCTAGATCTAAAGGACACAATTTTTGAATGTATTAACTTATGATCTTATGGTATACTTGAGTGTGGGGAACAAACATAAATAATAACTTTTTATTTGTTTTCAAGTACCGTGTAATCTCTTGGCCAGGTGACCCTTTGCTTTATCCAAGGGAGTATCACCATCTTTATTTGCAATGGATACCAGAGCTCCAGCAGCCACTAATTCCTCAGCCACTGGTTGATCACCCCAGAAGCAAGCATAATGGAGGGCAGTATTTCCATGTTCATTTGTTACATTGACATCTGCCCGATTCCTAAGTAACTACAATCATAGATTCTATTATGTTTCTTAAAGGTAAATTATAATTAAACTATGGATATCTATAGAATATATCACTTATGAATATTTCCAAGACTAATATAGTGCATAATCATCCATAATACAAATATAATAGTTTTTTCTCATAAACTGTTTACATGTGATTACCAGCTGAACAATTTCTTTATGTCCATGTGCAGAAGCAAGGTGAAGAGGAGTATCATCTCCTCTGTTGGTTGCATTAATACGTGCTCCTCTGCTAACTAATAACTCTGCCAATTTTAAATGTCCCTCTTTGCAGCACCAGTGAAGAGGACTGAATCCATGATCATCACTATACATAGAACATGAAATCACAAATGAATTGAAATTGATATTAAGAAATGTAGCTACAAAGAAATGCAATATTAATATGTAAATGCCAGATTATAACAGTGATGACAGATTTAAGAACATTGTTGCAGAAGCTTAAAAACAATATTCAGATGTGCTCCCAAAAAGGAATGATCTTGTATTTACCCTTGATTCATGTCATGTTCAGTGTCATCCAACCAAACGCGTACTTGCATAGCGTTTCCCTCGCGACACCATTGAAAAATATCCTCCATCTTTTGTCAAGTATTCACTAAAACACGCTTCTCTTCTCGTTTAGAGAGAGCTCAAGGAGCAGTGTTGAAATTGCAACACATGTTTTGAGATTCGGTTCCCCTTACTTGGACAGACTGCATTAAAATGTTTACATGTGTGTGAAGTGTTGTGCAAGTTTGTTAAGTTTGAGGACAGAGGACACTTTGATCGTATTTCTGTGAATTTTGAAAATATTTCAGATTTCTATTTTAGCATAAATGGGTGAAATTTCGAAAAACCGCCATGCTTCGATATCGACTAAATTTTGTAAATAAACTCATTTTTGCGAAAGGAAATATTTGTGAGAATGGTTTTTAAAAAACTAGAATAGTAGAATCTTACCCCATCGTCGATAAGGTAAGGAATGACATAAAAATGGTAATAAATTTTTTTCGAAGCCCCAAAAGTTGTTTTCATACATATTATGTTAGATGGTAGCACTACACGCTTCCACAGTTTATGTGAAATATGTGGGAAGTATTTAGTAATTCAAGTAACCGTCACATGGTTGAGGCAGTACACGTTTCTACTCGTCATATATGGTCACATTTGTTCTTTTTAATTGTACGTGAAGGAGTTGAATCAACAGAACACGTTAAACATTAAACAATATCGTCGGCAAACTTGTTCATACGTATACTGTAATGTTTAGTTAATCTCAATTGAAACATCACTGTTAGTCAGTGAAATACATCAGAGTAATGCAGTTTCTCCGTCGGTGATATTACGACTGTGTTTACCATTACGGAAATATGGTTATATTTAGTATATGACGACTACAGTATTTGAAACGCTGAGGATTGCCACTCCTCTGCAACTGTACATCTTATTGTTTTAGTGAAAAATTTGAAAAAAAATGGAGGATATTTTTCAGTGGTGTCGTGAGGGAAATGCTATGCAAGTACGTGTTTGGTTGGATGACACTGAACATGACATGAATCAAGGGTAAATATAAAATCACCTCTTAAAAAACTTTATATTATTTTCAAGCTTTGATAATGTTTTTTAAACTTTTCCCCTATTTTTAATCTTATTGATCTTGAATTGTACTATCGTATTCCTCTGTAACTAATTATTTTAACTTTACTCTTATTTCGTGTATGATTTCATGTTCTATGTATAGTGATGATCATGGATTCAGTCCTCTTCACTGGTGCTGCAAAGAGGGACATTTAAAATTGGCAGAGTTGCTCGTTAGCAGAGGAGCACGTATTAATGCTACTAACAGAGGAGATGATACTCCTCTTCATTTAGCTTCTGCTCATGGCCATAAGGAAATTGTGCAATTGGTAAATCAGCAAAATTTATGAAAAGATTATTATAGACCAGATATTTATGTATTTAAGATATATCAGGGTCTGAGAATTTTATCATGGATCTTTGTACTTAGTAGACTTGAGTATATCATAAATACAAATATGGTCATGGTCTAATTATACTTTGTCCCTAAGAAATTTAATAAAATCAAAACTTCTAGTTGCTTAGAAATCGAGCAGATGTCAATGTAACAAATGAACATGGAAACACTGCTCTTCATTATGCCTGTTTTTGGGGTGATCAAGCAGTTGCTGAAGAATTAGTGGCTGCTGGTGCTCTTGTATCCATTGCAAATAAAGATGGTGATACTCCTTTGGATAAAGCTAGAGGTCATCTAGCTAAAAGATTACATGGTATTTGATAATGAATAAAAAGTTATTATTTAATTTGCATTCAACCATACATACATCAGAGACCAATATACTGTAAAATGTTATTGTTTAGATTTGGCTGTAGAATATGGGCAAGATTTGAAAAAGATTCAGTTTAAAGATCAGAGCTGGTTGGGTCTGAAGACAAGAAGTAGTAAGTAATCTTGTATGAGGCTGTAGATATTGATGAATTTGTATAATGTTTATTAATATCCAATTGCATAGGAGATGCAACACTATCAAGACACAAAGGAATAAACATGGCGGATTTATCTTTACACACCCACTTAGCCAGTACCCCAAGTGGAGAGACTTGGAGAGGTCGTTGGCAAAACAATGATATAGTGGCAAAGATTTTGAACATACGTGAATGTACAGCGCGAATTTCAAGAGATTTCAACGAAGAATTTCCTAAATTACGAATCTTTTCACATCCTAACGTATTGCCGGTTCTCGGTTGCGTTAATCAGCCACCGCAATTGGCGACGGTGTCACAATATATGGCGCGTGGGAGTTTGCATCGACTTTTACACGGAGGTACAGGCGTCGTTGTTGATACAGCTCGTGCACTTAGGTTAGCTCTCGACGTTGCTAGAGCTATGGCTTTCCTTCATGGTCTCGAAAGACAAAACAGATGTAGATTTCATTTAAATAGCAAACATATTATGGTATAGTTCTTTTAATCATTAGTACGCGTTGAGTCCCCGCGTTCCTAACTATATAAGGTAATGGTTCAATTCGACATTTGCAGATTGACGAAGATCTGACGGCTCGCGTTAATATGGCGGATTCGAAATTTTCGTTCCAAGAAGTGGGCCGAATTTACGAACCGGCGTGGATGTCTCCGGAAGCTTTAAGCAAACGACCAGCCGATATAAATCTCGAAGCTAGCGACATGTGGAGCTTTGCCGTTTTATTATGGGAACTTGCGACTAGAGAAGTTCCGTTTGCAGATCTTTCGCCTATGGAGTGCGGCATGAAAGTTGGTTTAAAATTATCACATTATGAATGTAACAAATTTTCATTGTATTAATTACATCTGTTCAATTAATTGTAGATCGCGTTGGAGGATTTGCGTGTTAGTATACCTCCAGGAATCTCACCGCACCTTGCGAAACTGATTAGAATTTGCATGAACGAAGATCCCGGAAAACGCCCATCTTTTGATATGGTTGTTCCGATACTCGATAAAATGAAGCGCTAATTTTTTGTACTATATATCTTTGTTTATCTTCAGTAAGGTATGTCCTGAAATACGTATGTATTTCCTGAAGAAACATACTGGATCGGATTAAATAATAATTACTGAAACATTTCAGATATTGCAGTGCCTTTACAAACAAGAACTGAATTATACATCTCGAAACAATGTGCCTCCAGAACTTCTTCCACGATATTGTATTTATTACAACGCGCATTTTATTGTTGCCTATTATTTATATCATTTATATGTACATCATTAGTCACGATTATACTCACACTAACTCACACATTATTTTCTAATTGTTAATTTTATTTACATTGCCATATATCGAATGTTATATTAACCGTATTGTTACTTTTGCATTACTTTAATTGTAGCCAGTCAACATTAGGTACTAGACTTTTTTTAACATTTGACATGCTATTGTATTTTTCAGAGCAAAATAAATAAACTTATACAACACGGTGTCTGAGAACATTCATAATCCCGTTGATCCCGACGTTATAACAAGACAAACTTCTATTTGGAATACTAATAAAACAATTAAAAAGTAACAAATTTATCAGTGAATAATGATTAACGTATATTCATTGTTACAAATCGCGTAAGGCTGTGGAAAATCGAGTCGTTTAGATAATACATCCCGTGACGTAACCTTCTCATATCAGCAATTGAAAAGCTTAAATAAACATATGATCGCAGTGCGAAAACGGTTAGTGTTCGATGTACACGCTCTATGCAGAGTACGTTGGACTGTTGTCAAATTTGTGAAAACGTTAACGATGAACGAGCCAATAGTAACCGTAAAACAGGGCAAATTACGAGGTTGTGTTAACAAAAGTGTTTTGGGAATATCGTACTTCGCTTTCACGGCAATCCCGTTCGCTAAACCTCCTGTTGGAGAACTGAGGTTCAAGGTAAACTACTCCTGGAATTACTCGACATTTGCATAAGTCATACATTAATTATGTTCTACAATTACATTGTATAACACGAATTATTTAACCTATATCAATATTATTATTATTATGAAGTAGTTTAACATAAGCCAATCATAGAAATTACAAAGAAAATACATACATACATTTAGAAAATACATTTAGAAATAAAATAAGTTTGTTATTTTTTGTAATTGCCTTTTTATTTCTTCTGTGGGACACAGGACCCTGTGCCAGTTGAACCATGGACCGGAATTAAGGATACTTCACATAATCTTATTTTTTGTAATTGCTTTTTTATTTTTTCTGTGAGACACAGGACCCTGTGCCAGTTGAACCATGGACCGGAATTAAGGATACTTCACATAATCTTAGCTATGCTTGCACACAACTAGAGGAAGTGGCACCTTACAATGTGATCGGGACAGAAGATTGCCTCTATTTGAATGTTTACACGAAATCTCTTAATCAATCGAAGCCTGTTATGTTCTGGATACATGGTGGTGCATATGTCGTAGGCACCGGCGGCTTCAAAGTCAAGAGGCCGGATTATTTAATGTCGAAGGGTGTTGTTCTAGTTACGGTTAATTACAGGCTCGGCGCACTCGGTTAGTTTTATCACTTTTCGGGTTGAATATGGAATAAACAGGAAATGCGTTATTTATCTGCGTGGTTGAAAAATACTGCAATATTTCATTTATTGAAGTTGCTTTTATTGCATAGTCGACATTAGTCGTGATAAAAGTAGACTTCGGAATGCAGATAAGATATATGTTAGAAACTAAATTATACTAAATTTGCACATTTTTGTATTATGATATTTTAAAACCACAAGTTACTGGTTTCAAAATTTGGGACTTTATTTTAAATTATTTAATTTTATTCTTGGATTAAAAATTTTTGGTTTACCTGATTTCTGATTTGTTGAATCCTCTAATTCTGATATTTCCAAATTTTCAGATCCCAAAATTCTGAAATCCCAATGTTAAATATTCTCAAATGAGCAAATGAGCAAATCTTCAGATTCCAACATTTTTAGATCCCAAATGAGTAAATCTTCAGATGTCAAAATTCTCAAATCAGCAAATCTGCACATTTCAAAATTCTCAAATAAGCAAATCTTCAGATCCCAAAATTCTCAAATGACCAAATCTTCAAATTCCCAAATTCTCAAATCCCAAAATTCTCAAATGACCAAATCTTCAAATTCTCAAATGACCAAATTTTCAAATTCCAAAATTCTGAAATGACCAAATCTTCATATTTCCAAATTCTCAAATTCCCAAATTCTCAAATTCCAAAATTCTCAAATGACCAAATCTTCAAATTCCAAAATTCTCAAATGACCAAATCTTCAAATTCCAAAATTCTCAAATGACCAAATCTTCAAATTCCAAAATTCTCAAATGACCAAATCTTCAAATTCCAAAATTCTCAAATGACCAAATCTTCAAATTCCAAAATTCTCAAATGACCAAATCTTCAAATTCCAAAATTCTCAAATGACCAAATCTTCAAATTCCAAAATTCTCAAATGACCAAATCTTCAAATTCCAAAATTCTCAAATGACCAAATCTTCAAATTCCAAAATTCTCAAATGACCAAATCTTCAAACTCCCAAATTCTCAAATTCCAAAATCTTCAGATCCCAAAATTCGCAAATGACCAAATTGTCAAATTCCCAAATTCTCAAATTCCAAAATTCTCAAATGACCAAATCTTCAGATTTCCAAATTCTCAAATTCCAAAATTCTCAAATGACCAAATCTTCAAATTCCAAAATTCTCAAATGACCAAATCTTCAAATTCCAAAATTCTCAAATGACCAAATCTTCAAATTCCAAAATTCTCAAATGACCAAATCTTCAAATTCCAAAATTCTCAAATGACCAAATCTTCAAATTCCAAAATTCTCAAATGACCAAATCTTCAAATTCCAAAATTCTCAAATGACCAAATCTTCAAATTTCAAAATTCTCAAATGACCAAATCTTCAAATTTCAAAATTCTCAAATGACCAAATCTTCAAATTTCAAAATTCTCAAATGACCAAATCTTCAAATTTCAAAATTCTCAAATGACCAAATCTTCAAATTTCAAAATTCTCAAATGACCAAATCTTCAAATTTCAAAATTCTCAAATGACCAAATCTTCAAATTTCAAAATTCTCAAATGACCAAATCTTCAAATTTCAAAATTCTCAAATGACCAAATCTTCAAATTTCAAAATTCTCAAATGACCAAATCTTCAAATTTCAAAATTCTCAAATGACCAAATCTTCAAATTTCAAAATTCTCAAATGACCAAATCTTCAAATTTCAAAATTCTCAAATGACCAAATCTTCAAATTTCAAAATTCTCAAATGACCAAATCTTCAAATTTCAAAATTCTCAAATGACCAAATCTTCAAATTTCAAAATTCTCAAATGACCAAATCTTCAAATTCCAAAATTCTCAAATGACCAAATCTTCAAATTCCAAAATTCTCAGATCCCAAAATTCTCAAATCCCAAAATTCTCAAAAAAGGAGAACTTATTTATCTATCAATGTATTAAAATTTTAAAAGGTTTCTTAAATCTGGGCCACCGAGTAGCGCCCGGTAACCAAGGAGTGAAGGATTTGATCCTTGCTCTGAAATGGGTGAAGGAGAACATCGCCAATTTCGGAGGAGATCCCAACAACGTTACTGTTTTCGGTCCAAGTGCCGGGGGAGCGTTAACTCATTACTTAATTTTATCACCACGCGCCAGAGGTAACATCATTTATTATCATGGTTTTGTTTAATTACGTTTGATAAGATTACGTCAATGTATATATGTGAATCTCCAGAAAACGTGTGCGATTACAATGGAAATTTTGAAACGTCACTAAATCTCAAATCTTTGATAAAATCTTTCCTTTCGATCATTTTTTAACTAATTATTTGCTTATTTAATTACACGTAACAATGTTTAGAAAACGCATTTAGAATGAAAATTTTAAAACTTTGTTAAATCTTAGATTTTTAATAAAATCTTCCTCTTTGAACAGTTTTAAAATTTTCCACAAAATTTGAAACAAGATTTTTTAATATCAAGATATATATTTTTTCCAAAATAAAAATCAAGTTAAATTTTTTGAAACAAGATTTCATTAAATTTCGGATCTTTGATGAGTTCTTTTTCTGTGACTATTTTCAAGCTACTTATACTTCTTTACAGTTGATTAAAAAAATGTCTACAACTAAAATGGAAATTTTAAGACCTTTTCAAATTTTTTGCAGTTGCATAAAAAACTTTTTACAGCTAGAATGGAAATTTCAAGACTTCATTAATTCTGAGATCTTTAATAAAATCTTGCTCTTTCAACCTTTTCAAATTTTTTGCAGTTGCATACAAAAATTTTTACTACTAGAATGGAAATTTTTAAACTTCATTAAATTTGAGATCTTTGATGAAATTTTCTTCTTTGACAATGTTAAAACATTCCAGTACAACAAAGAAAGTTCATTCCAATTAAAATAGACACCCTATATATCACAGGTTCTTATATCTATTTTCTCCATTTCTTAGGTCTTTTCCACAAAGCAATAATGCAAAGTGGATTAGTAACATGTCCTTGGACATACAACCAAAGTCAGCCTGACCGTGGATTCAAGCTAGCGTCGCTGCTCGGCAAGGATTCCACAAACGCCGAAGAAGTGGTGGAATTTTTACGAACCGTTCCTGTCGCGGATATCGTAAAGGCTACCGCTTCGATTTTAACTAAAAAGGCAAACAGTTTTTTTCATTTAATCTGTTTCACAATTTCAATCAAACTATGAACACGCTTTTTTTGTTTACGTTAGGAGACGGCTTCTTTTTATTTACCGTTTGCACCTAACAGCGATCAGGTTGCCGATGATCCTGTTTTACCGTTACCGATCGAGGTGTTGTTGTTGAAGGATGTCGATATTCCTGTGATGATTGGTTATACCTCTCATGAGTTTATTATGTTCTTCAAAGGTAATTGTGGTGACAGTTTTAGGGTATTTATATTCTTAAAACTATTCTATATTTTTAAATTAGATTTCTGTATTGTTAATTTTTAAGGTCCCTACTTTAAATTTTTAGATCTCTATATTAGTAGATTATTGTATTTTGAGGTTTTAATGACTCTAGAGCTACGTATACATTTCTAGATTTTCAGATCTATGTATATCTAGATTCCTATATTCATAGATTTTTATATTCTTAGATCTCTACATCCTATATTTCTATATTTTTAAGTTCTTACGTCTCTAGATTACTATTTTGAGTTTCTCGCATTCCTAAATTTCTGTATACGTAGACTTCTACACCCCTAGATTCCTACATACCTAGATTTCTATACCCTTAAATCTCTACATCCCTAAATTTATATATTTCTAAATCTTTATATCTCCAGATTACTATTTTGAATTTCTCACATTCCTAAATTTCTGTGTATGTAGACTTCTATACCCCTAGACTCCTACGTACTAAGATTTTTATACCTTTAGATCTCTACATCCTTAAGTTTATATGTTTTAAGATATCTACATTATACATAAATATATAATTAGATATTCTATATAATTTCTATAATAGTTAGATTCCTATATAATCTCTATACACCTGAATATCTATATCTCTAAATCTCTTGATCGTTACATGGGGATATATATTCCTATATCTTTATATACCTCTATTCCAATCTAGGAATACAATAATGTAACTTGACACTGCACTATTGTAATTCATAAAGTTCCATCACAACTCTACACAACCTATCATTTTATATTCAACCATTAAAACATAAAATTCTAAAAATAAATTTCCAAAAATCCAAACAAAATCAAGACTTCAGTCTCTAGACAACCAACTCATTGCAACAGAAGAGTTTCTCAATGATACAGCATATCCATTAATCTTGATTATCAACGAACATTGAACTTCAACTTTTTACTGTCATTTGTGTTTCAGAAAACACTGAGGAGGCTATGAATAGTTACAATCGTTTCCTACCACAACATGTGAAGAACCTCGCCGCGACGAGGAACCTAAGCCCCGAGGAAACCGAGCAATTATTGAAAACCGTCAAAGAAAAGTATTTCAATGGAGAACCAATTAGTCAGAAACACGTTAACCAAGTAATAGAATTTTTCGGGGATGTTTACTTCACTATCCCAGCGAAATTAGCTGTGGAGGACCGAGTGAAGAGAACAAAGGCACCTACGTATCATTACAAATACTCTTATGTTGGAAAAGAAAAGACGGCTACTGATTTGCTTGTTAAACGTCTTGTTCAGGGTAATTGTAATTTATTCTTTGATGGAGTCATTAGTTAGGTGTCTAAGAATGAATGTGTTACAGGAGCGTCACACGTGGACGAGGTGGCGTATCTGTTTTATTTGCCGCTTTGTAAGACTGATGCTGCTGAACCACCTGCGGTTGGCACGAAAGATAGAGTGACGTTGGAGCGAATGACTTCTATGTGGACCAATTTTGCTGCAACAAGGTATATTTTTTGTGTTGGATACGATTGTGATATAGAATAGTAGCGTGATAGGTTCTCTTAACAGACAGAATTTTCTGATATTCAAATTTAAAAACTTTAGAAACTCCTAGATCTCTAAAGTCCTAAGTCTTCAAATCTCCAAATTCCTAAATCTTCAAACTCTTGAATCCCCAAACCTCCTCTACCAACATACTATATTTCTAAATTCTTAAATTTGAAACCTTATAAATACCTGAATCACCTTACAATTGCAATATAACTAGAGTCTACGCTTGTTAAGTCAACTTCAAATCCACACATGTCACTGTCATTGAGAAAGTATTTGTATCTAATTTTACATGATTGCACAACTATTTGCATGTTTCATACAATTTACATTAAAGAGAATGACGTTTACATTAAACTTGTAAATTGCGATTAACATTACTAATAATAGAATTTGTCAAACTTTCAGTAATCCAACGCCAACACACGATGAGTTCGTGAAAACCACCTGGGAGCCCGCAACGGTAGACAAGCCTTATTATTTAGATATTGGCGATGAATTGCAACTGTTAACAGTACCTCCGCATGTATTAAGCTCTAAGTAAATAACGCGACAAAATAGAACATGGGTGTAGGATAAACGTTTGGAAATAAACGTATCTTTTATAAATACTTTTTTAAATTCATATGTAATTTCTTACGATAAATACATGTAATCGCTTCCTTATGTTCAGAAGAAAACTAAAAAGGTGCGTACGAGGTGAAATAATAAATACGTTATTATATCTATGCTTGTAAAATGTCAGTGACAGCTATTTACATTGCGAGAAAAATTCACGAGCATCCTACACGAAATCATAATTAATGTATCTACACGTGAGTGTTAAAAATTAAGGTAGCAAAAAATTTTGCAAGTCTCAGGACAAAAAAAGAGAACGAAACTAGGGATTAATATCGGGGATTTGTGGCCAAAGTTGGCTGATTAGAAACGTTTAATAAATACGATAACGATACGTTCTAAAGTTCAACTCGTTATCTCGTCGATTTCGTTCTCTTTCTTTTTAATCTTCGATATAAATTCGTGAATTATACTCTAATGGACAAGACATGTACATACATTTCGATTCTTAGAAACTAATTATTTCCTGTCGGGAGAACACAAAAAACGTGTTTTACGAGAATTATTTGTTCCAGAAAGCGAAGGCTTTCTGTATTCTCTCGTTTTGAGGCTTCGCAGCCACCACGGTGACCGCAGGATAGGTTCGCTGAGACACTTGGGGAACGTTCGTCGGTGTTTTCGATTGTGCCGCCTCTTTTTCGAATAATTTCGCGGTTCGACTCACGTTTCCGGTCGGCACGAACTTGCTTCGGACGCGTCCGATTAGTAACCTTGGGTCCTCAATCTCGGTGGCCACTGTAAACAATAACATATTCGTTAATATTTATATTTCTTTAGGAATATTTATTTTTATTTGCTATTTAGTCGATTACTGGAAGCTTATGTAATAGCAGATCATTGAAATGACTATCATAATTTGTTCAAAATTATGCTTGTTTTCTTTTGTTTCATTACATTTTATACTGTATAGTTTTATCTGTGAATATTTAAGTGTTCTAGTTATTTAATTTAGTCAAATTTATGCTTGTTTTCTTTTGTTCCAATACAATTTTATATTGCACAGTTTTGTCTGTGAATATTTATTTGACAAATGACTGGAAGCAGATCATTAAAATGATCATTATAATTTAGTCAAAATGCTTGTTTTCTTTTGTTTCATTACAATGTTACATTGTTCACTTTTGTCTGTGAATATTTAAGTGTAGTAATTATTTAACAATTTGCAGAGTGAGAACTTATTGGATAATGATTGATCATTGAAGCAGTTGCAATTATAACTTAAGTAAGATTATGATTTTTCTTTTCTCATTTTACAAATTCTACATTATTTCTTCTAATTTCTTAATAATTATATCTGTTCAATATTTAATAAGTTGAAACCAGAAACTCATTACATGATGGAAGTTCATTGAAATAGCTGCAATTATGACTTAGGTAAGATTATGATCTCTCTTCGTTCTTCAATTTGTGAATGTTTAAATATGTTCCTTATTTAACCGGTTGACTGAAAGCTTATTAGTGAAAATTAGAACATACCATTTATAATTCATTTAGTAACAAGTATCAAGCTTTATACAATTATTAATGAATTGAATTTTATTAAATAATTAATGAGTGTGCAGTAATGAGGTGGATTAGTGAAAGAACTATCGAATCAAATTTTTTAATTTAGAAACTTGAGAATATGGAAGATGATAAAAATAATTTTTAAAGTGTAGAAATTATAGAAATATAAAAATCTAAGTTTCTAAGAGTTCAAATTCCCAAATTCAAAAATTTAATAATAAAGATATACAAAACTTTCAAATTTTCAAATTTGCAATATATATCTGTAAGAAAATTTACTTGTTAAAAAATTCCCAAGTTTCCAAACTACATCAACCCTCCAAATTACTCACCCCAATTATCCTATCAAAAATCTTACCTTCATCTGCAAACATCTAAACTCTACTGACCACATCTCACAAAAATCCTTGTTTCCAAAATTATCAAAACCAAACTGTACCTACCACATCTTACAAAAACTTCAATTTTAAAATTACAAAAGAAAAACACGTCAAACACACCTTCATGCTGTCGATTAATTTCACGCGAAGCTTTAGTCACGTCACCAGCTACCTCTCTTCCTTTGGCACATTTCTTTGGCTCGCAGGCATCGGAACCCTGTTGACAGTTCCCTTTATCCCTCTGTTCCTTCCTGTTCTCAAACTGTTCCACCTTCTTGGACACGCTTCTTCCGTTACCATTCCCCTCGCCATCCTCCTCTTCCTTGATCGACGAAATGCCAACTTCGTTCACGTGCTGCGACGAGGAGGACATATTCGAGACACAGTCCCCAATGCCGGAGTCCCTGGAGTCACCCCTGAAGACCCTTTTAAGCTTCTGCAAACTGCTAGAATCTGGATCCTTCTCCTTCGAAGTCTCCTCTCTCTTCTCCTTCCATATTTTGCACGTCTCATTCTCCTTCGGTCGTGTGACTTCATCGAAGTAATCCTCGTTGCAGGTGGACGTCGAATAAGTTTCGAAGTTGGTTCTTTCCGGGTCCAAGGTCTTCACGAAGAGTGTCTCTTCCTTGATCAAGATCCTCTCCTCGAAGTGGCATCGCGTGATTATCTCTTCCTCCTCGATCTTCTCCATAGGAACTGGCTCCTCCAAGTGAGCCTCGCGGATCGTGTCCGCGCAGGTATCGCTTTCAGGGATCTCTTCGGATCCATTTTCACGGGAACACGATCCAGCGTGATCCCAGGTCGGTTCGGTTTTCAGGGACGACTCGTCAAGGTCCGACGGGACTCGTGTTTCGTCAGAAGCTAACGTTTCTTCCGGAGAGATGTTCACCTCTGTCTTATAACAGAAGTACACGTTTTGAGCGGACTTGTTTGGATCTGCATTGTCGGGTTTGATATCGGGCTTCTTGGAGTCGGGCGATGAGTCGAAGTCGATCGAGCGCGGAGAATCGATCGGATTTGGAGGCTCGGTGGTGGGGGAAGACTCGGCTGTGGCCGTAGGACTTCGTCTACTGTTCGCTGAGAGGATTGCCATCCTTCCTAGTGCACGAATGGCGTTTCCTGTTTTCTGTGCGGAGCACACGGACACGCGACAGCGATCAAACACACGCGGAAGTTAGTTTTTATGGGTTCGATTGCACTCTTTCGCTGGGATAGTTAACCTAGATATTGTTATTGAGCCAGTGTTTGAGGTTAGAAAAGAAGAGTCTGTGTATGGAGCTTAGGAATCTTTAGATTTAAGAATCTTGAAATGTGATAAGCGTAAAATGTGGGAATTTTGAAACTTTGCATTTGAATTAGAAAATGTAGAAATTTAAGAATGAGAAGATCTACAAATTTGGAGAAGAATAAAAAAAGGTTATGATAGTGTTAAAAAAATGTAGCACATCAAAATTAAAATTTATAAAACCACAGCGAAAGAGTTAACCAAAAAAACTATTTAATAATGTTTACTACTTTTTTATAGCTTTGCAAATTATTCGTGTTTGGTAGAAGATGGTATAAATTATATTTGATTATATAAATATTGCTTATGTTAATTGTGTCTGAAATTTACAAAATAAAAAAATATAATTTTATTTAAAATTTACAAAATTGAAATTTTACCATCTTAAAATTAGACAAGCTGTTATAAATAAAAAATAAATGAATAAAATTTATTTTTAGTTTGGTAGAAGATGATATTAATTATATCTTCTAAAATTAAAATTATTTAACATTATCTGAAATGTTCAATGTTGAAAATAACCTTGTCTGAAATTTACAAAATAAAAAAATATAATTTTACTTAAAATCAAAAAAATTGAAACTGTACCATCTTATTTGAAATTATTAAAATTAAAATTAGACAAGCTTGTGCAAATAAAAAATAGCTACAAAGAATTTATTTACAGGGTCTAAAATCCTGTAAGTGTTCTTTAAGAAAATTAAACAATTATTTTACTAAAATTTCTGAAATATTTTTTAAAATTTTTAACAGAATAAATGAATCTATATTGCAAGATAAAATCAATTCTATATTTGGACTTAATTATAAGAATTACTACAGCGTATATTCCTCGAAATAACGAAACAATAAAAACTGAATTTAATTTCCTGAAAAAGTTACGTAATTACGATCTGATACCACAACACGAAGAATTTACAAATTCTTCAGGATCTCACGTCACCCGTACTTACCTTACATTATATCACGCTCGGTGAAGCAGAACGGTCTAACATAGCAACAAACCGTGCAAAACGCATTAAATCAAGTTTCATGATCGATTCCTACCTGCCACTTTCTTCGTACGATGAACTTTTTCAGTTTCTCTGTCGGCAAGGCTATCCTGCTCATTGCTTCAGCGTGTTGAGCCATCCATGGATGTTCTAGACATTTTCTTGCCGACATTCGCAATCTGTTAGGTCGAAAAATATGTTTTTATCTTGCTTCAAATTAACGATATGATCCACTTATAGAGATATGCTATAATAAATATTGCTTGCAAGATTCAATAATAAAGGATAATAGGATGTTTAGGAAATTTGGGGAGCGATTTGGGGACGTTGGAATTTGGGGACGTTGGAATTTGGGGACGTTGGAATTTGGGGATATAGCGATTTGGGGACGTAGCAATTTGGGGACTTAGGAATTTGGAGATATAGCGATTTGAGGATGTAAGAATTTGAGAAAATTGGGATTCGGGAATGTGTAGGACTCGGGACACAGGTTTTCGAGGAAATGGAAATTTTAAGATATAGAAACTCAAGAATATGGATAACCGGTACATAGCTCTTCTAAACACATAGATCAGCTTCTTCAAGCGACAACTCGTGGGTGCACATCAGTAGATATACTCTTTATACCTAAGTCTAAATATTTCTATTGTATATATCTAAAGATGATACATTGAGGTAAAACGTAAATATCATCAGAGACTAATCATATAATATAACAAATATACATTTTGATTATTGCATAGTGCACTTGTCTGTTTGAATGTGGTGAGTGAGTAATTATACATGTATTATTGAATATTGTTGAATACGTACTCCTTTCGTTTGACGAGCAAACCACTAATGAAGTCCTTAGCATCGTTCGATATTGCATCGAAAGCCTCGTCCTCGAGATCGTAATCAGCACGAGTGATGTTGGCGAACGTTTCGGCATCGTTATCGCCCATAAATGGCGACAGACCGGTTAACCTGAACATTTGTATTCATTGATACTTAACGAACGTTTAATAAAAGTACTCTACCATTTATCTTACATTCATTGTTTTTATATAATAAGTTGATTAATAAGATTTGGATATAATAATACTGGTTTAATCATTAGCTAACTAGAATACCGAATAGTAACTATTTAGCTATAGTATTTAGTAACTATTCAGCTAAACTATTTACTTAGAATACCGAATATTTGATTACTTACAAAACATAACAGATCACACCAACGCTCCACATGTCCGATTCCGTACCAATCGGCTCATAATTAATAATTTCCGGTGGAATAAATTCTGGTGTACCAAAGAGAACCCTAATTGGGGTGTCGGGTTTCAGAGTTTGAGCCAAACCGAAGTCAATAAGTTTAATCTGATGAGAGGTTCGTGTTCTACACATTATATTCTCCGGCTGCAAATGTAACAATTATTACCAAAAATGTTTATATAAAAAAATTACTTAAACCTCATCAGAAAAATGTGAGCTTACCTTCAGATCTAGGTGCACCACATTGTTTTGATGCATGTATTCAACACCCTCGCAGATCTGCCTCATGAAGAGTATACTGTCCCTTTCTGTGAGGGTGAAATCGTCAGCTACAACCCTCTCAAACAGCTCACCCCCAGATATACTGTAAATTCATATAATAATATAATTTATATAATGTTCATATACAGGGTGTCTCACAATTATGTAGGTCCCTTAAATGGGAGATAGCTGACGTGATTCTGAATAAGATTTCCCTTTGCAAAAATGGGGTTTGAAGCTTCGTTTTTGAATTATTAAGGAAAAACACGGACCAATCAGAGCGCGAGGATTATTACGCGTTGGATTACTAAGCATTGGTTAACTACGCGTTAGATTACCACGCGTCAGATTTTTACGCTTAGAATTACCACGCGTTGCATTACTACGCGTTGGACTACTACACGTTGAATATCCACACTCTGGATTACTACACGTTGAATATCCACGCTCTGCATTACTACGCGTTGGATATCCACACGCTGGATTACTACGCGTTAGATTACCACGCATTAGATTCCTACGCTTAGAATTACCACGCGTTGCATTACTACGCGTTGGACTACTACACGTTGAATATCCACACTCTGGATTACTACACGTTGAATATCCACGCTCTGCATTACTACGCGTTGGATATCCACACGCTGGATTACTAAACGTTAGATTACCACGCATTAGATTCCTACGCTTAGAATTACCACGCGTTGCATTATTACGCGCTGAATTACTATGCGTGGAATATGCACGTGCTAGATTACTACGCGTTGGATATCCACATGCTGTATCAGTACGCGTTGGATTATTACGCGTTGGATTACTACGCGTAGGATTACCATGCGTTGCATTACCACGCGTTGCATTACTACGCGTTAGATTACCACGCGTTGGATAAGTGCGCGTTATCCGAAGTTCCCGCTCTCGCGTCTGCGCATGCGTAATCCTCCCGCTCTGATTGGTTCGTGTATTTCCTTAATAATTCAAAAATGGAGCTTCAAACCCATTTTTGCAAAGGGAAATCTTATTCAGAATCACGTCAGCTACCCCCCATTTCAAGGACCTACAGTTGTAAGACACTCGATATAATAAACAGGGCTAGCATAAACAAAAACGGAATACATTATGACAATTTGTAGAGGGTGTATAAACTTGATGAGTTTGTGCTTCTTTTCATATGTATATCTTTAATATGTGTACGTGTAATACCTCTGAATATAATACCTTTCACAAGACGAATTACTTATTTAAACTAGTCCTGCATATTACACAAGAAGAAGTTGACATAAAACTTCTGGTTCACATAAAAGTATATTCCAGAAAAATAAAGTACGTTGTATAAAAAAGAAGTACGCAAAGAAATCTTCGTAATTATTTACCTCATTATAACACAACTATAGCAATATTTATTACAAAACTGAATAACTACAAAATGAATGAAAATAGTTTTTGAACTCACTATTCGGTGACCATAACAATTTCCCGAGGACTCTCGAAAGCTGCAGCGAGAAGAAGAAGCTTAGGATGCCGTAGCACATTCATGATCCTAATTTCTTCTCGAACCTGCTCCCTGTCCTTGCTTTTGATCGTCCTTACAAATTTCGCGGCGAAATTCGTGCTCGAAGACTTTTCGACGATCCTTTTTACAACGCCGTATCGACCTTTTCCTAGTTCCTCTAGAACTTCGTAACGGTCGTTGAATAATTGTCCATCCTCCATTTCTACGAGTCGAGCTTCGAAGGGTGGCACGAATTCTTCGACAATTAAAAAAGATGGAATATCGTCAGTTCCTTAATACGAGAGATATTTTAAAGATAAAGTAGTTTGCAAGTTTGGATTTTTTTGGGAGTGAAAGATTTGAGGATTTTAAGGATTTTAGGTGTTTCAAGGATTTTAAGGATTTTAGGGGTTTCAAGCATTATAGGGATTTTACAGGTTTCAAGGATTTGAAGGATTTGAGGGATTTTAGGGGTTTTAAGAATTTTAGGGATTTTAGGGATTTTAGATATTTGAGAGATTTTAGGAATTTTAGGGATTTGACATTTAGGAGTTTGAGAAGTTAGGAATTTGGGGATTTAGTAGCTTTGGGTGTTAGGCATTTGGGAACTTAGTAATTTCATAAATATAAAACTTTGCAAATTATTACAAGAAAATTTAAATAAATTCATAAACTTGAAAGCGAACTAATTTATAAAATTATAAAGTTAAAATTAAAAAATCTAAAATTGAGTGAATTTGGGTATACAGTTTATACCAATATGTCCATGTATGTAATTATTAATAATTTATATAATATGTATTTTTCTTATAAATTTACCTTCTTCATCATCCTGTAAACACGTCTCTCCTTCCTTAGGGATTCTAACGAATTCAGATTCGTCACCAGGTTCACTGACTCCGTGTATGTTCTCCGCTCTTACGCGAAAACGATATCTTTCCCCAGGCGTCGGTGTATTTATTCCGGAATCTGGTACCGTGAGACTCAAGGAGAGACAAGATTCTGCGATCCTCGTCCACGTGTTTTCACCGGCGCGGTTCATCTCTACGGTGTAACCGGTAACCGTGCAACCTCCGTCGTATGGCGACGATCGCCAATTTATGGTGGCAGTTCCTGTAGAACAGCATACGGTGGGAATACCCGCTGGAGGATCGGGTGGTCCTGGAATTAATTTATTAAATTAATATATGATAAATTATTAAGCGTGAAAGTGTGTTATAAATCATATTTCTATTCATTTGTTGCTGGATTATGTTTTTAGCTTTCAAATTTTAAATGATTAAATATTTGTGGATAATACCTAAATTACTACATCTTCAAATTCTCAAGTTACTATATTCTTAAATTATAAAATTTTTCAATTCTCAAATTTTCAAATCCTTAAATTTTCAAAATTTTAAATTCGACAGTTCTCCAAATACCTAAATTCCTAAATCTTCGAATTCTCAAATCCAGTTCTCGAATTCCCAAATTTTCATTTTCTCCAGCCCTCAAATTCCCAAGTCCTCAAATTCCCGAGTCCTCAAATTCCCAAATCCTCAAATTCCCAAGTCTTCAAATTTCTCAAATTCCCAAATCCTCAAATTCCCAAATTCTCAAATTCCCAAATCCTCAAATTCCCAAATTCTCAAATTCCCAAATCCTCAAATTCCCAAATTCTCAAATTCCCAAATCCTCAAATTCCCAAATCCTCAAATTCCCAAATCCTCAAATTCCCAAATCCTCAAATTTCCAAATCGTCAAATTCCCAAATCCTCAAATCCTCAAATCCTCAAATTCCCAAATTCCCAAATTCCAAAATTCCAAAATTCCAAAATCCTCAAATTCTCAAATCCTCAAATTCCCAAATCCTCAAATTCCCAAGTCTTCAAATTTCCAAATCGTCAAATTCCCAAATCCTCAAATCCTCAAATACCCAAATTCCCAAATTCCCAAATTCCCTAATTCCCAAATTCCCTAATTCCCAAATCCTCAAATTCTCAATTTCGTAAATTGAAACTTCCACAAAAGATTCTTAAATTCCAACTTTAAAATTTCCCAAATACCTCAATCACCAAATTACTAAAAATACTCCTCCTTCCAGAACCTACTTGTCCAACCTTAATTAACCTTACAAATTACTCGACCATATCAAATGCTTACAGACCGTCACCAATGACCCACGCGGCAGTAAACACGACAAGAGCCTTGCTCCGCACAAAATCGTTCTACCGTTATTTTTCTTTTCACGACACTTTTTATAAGTCGCCAACAAAAACTGTCCCTATAGGACAATGTGCTATATGAATGTTTTCAAATTATAAACAAGCACTTTTTAAACTATACTACTTTCTCCTTCATCCTGTTTTCATGATATGTACTCCGTTTGATCGTTAACACGCTCTACAACACGTGGAGTAATGAACGTTACATGTGCATATAACACGTGGTGTTTATTGCTCAAGCTTTTTAACATGTATGCACATGTGTGTAAATGATAAGTGCAAGAAATGTTTAATTGTGAGACTGGTTTTTTATTAATATTTTTAAGTGAATTGTATATTTGTACATATGCATATGTACATGTATGGCGAGGTGCATAGGTATGTACATGTGCATATGTGATACATGTGTATGAACATACGCGTTCATGTGTGAGTAGATACATTATACATGTGTAGGTATGTATATATGCATGTATGTGTACGTACATAATACATGTGTGTGTATGCACATATGTATGCATAATACATGTGTATATATGAACATACATGTACATGTGAGTATAGGTACATTATACACGTGTAAGTATGTACACATGTATACATACATGATACATGTGTTGCATATACATGTACGTACATAATACATGTACATGTGTGTATGTACATATACATGTATGTAAAAGAACGTATACACATATCCATATACATAAACATATAATACACGTATATGTACCTACATATACCACACATGTACATGTACACAACAAATATACATGACTGTGTATATAAACCACACACACACAGTGTTAATTTTGAACCTGCCACATGGTATCAAAATATTCTACAATTAAAAATAATAAAACATATTAAGTATATAAACATAATAAATGCTTCTTGACATAAAATTATTACAAATATATTAAAATGATAAATGACTGGTTTTCTGTTTGACATCCACTCCAAAGGAAATGAATATTAAGATAAAATTCAATTTAACAACCACATTTTGGATTTACTAAATAACAATTTCTACAATAACATTGTTATTAATTCTACAGCACTTTGTCACTATTTACATAAAAATGAGCTTCATGTACATAAAGAAACTTTCATACAAAAGAACTTGTGACACATTAAACCTTCATTTTAACACACAAATCCTGTATTTTTTGTTTGAAACAAAATTTCATCGTACATATGGTTTATTTCTTAAAAACCGCATTGTAAATTTCGTAGATATTAACTCAAATAACAGACACTTTAATTAATTACCCATTATTCCACTTGTTTTGAACAGTAAACTTGTCGAAGACGATTAAGAACTGCACAGCGAAAATCTGTTTAAAGATTGAACAGTCATTCTATCGAAAGACGAAAAATCGAGCTTAGAACGCGTTAGGAGGCGAGCTTCTTCGTCACTGGTTCGCGGCGCCGAGACCCTGAGGAAAGAGGAAGAACAGAAACAGATGGTGGAGAGGGAAAAGAATGAAAGGAGGGAATGAGGAATATTATTGCGCGACACGTCACGTGAGACTGTCGTCTGCCTTGTACATAAGAAGAGGAACTGGACCGTGTGACACGCGTTTACGCACGTGGAACAATGGGTGTTTCGTTCTAAATTGACACAAAGAGGCGCGGGAAACCGCGGACGAAAGCAAATGGTGGATTTTATGTGCTCCAATGTTCTTATATTCTTAAGTTTCATTTCTTTCACTTTTTTCTTGCTTCTTTTCAATTTCTTTAAATCCTCAAATTGAAATTCAATTTCGGTTGGTCTTTAATTCATTTTTTTATTTGAAATTTGAACATTTTAGGAATTAAAGAATTTAGAACGTGAAGGTTAAAATATAGACAATTTATGATTTGATAATTTGGGTATTTGCAAACTTTGGCAATGAAAGAATTTAATAATTTTGGTATTTTTAAAAGTAGAGAAAATTTGAGAATTTTAGAAGTTTGAGAATTTTGTTTTAAAATTTTTTAGTTTGAAATTTTCTAATTTGAAAATTTGCAGATTTAAAAACTTGCAATTTGTAGAACTTGACAATTTGAAATTAAAACATGAGAATTCTAAAATTTGACAATTTCAATATTTGCAAACAAGACTTTGTAAAATTGAAAATATGAAAATTTAAAATATTCGAAAATTCGAAGATTTAGAAATTTTGTTAAAATTAAAAAAAAATTTGACAATTTCAATATTTGCAAACAAAACCTTGAAAAACTAAATATTAAAATTTAACTATAAAAATATTAAAATTTTACCTATAAAAACTAAATGTGAAAATTTAAAAATTCGAAAATTCAGAGATTTAGAACTTTGGTCATAATTTAAAAATCCTGAAAATTAAATAATTCATGACATCACTAATTTATAAATTTTGAAACAGTATTTCCTCAAAACCCATAATCCCTGGAAATTTCCCTTTCTCAGCGCTAATGGCGGTCCGTCCATTATCTCATCAAGTTTGAATGTCTCAAACCAATTTGCACTTATCAATCCGTTAATAAGCTATGCACTTAAACAGCTTTAAGAAATCTACACAAGGAGCGATAAAAACCGTGACGAATGAAACTTGATTCAAGGAATGTTATCAATCATTTCGATTATCATAAAATTTTCTCGAACGATTAAGTGAAAACAGTTTCACAATTCCAGGTACCATTATAATCGCATTAACAATGTAAAATAACAAACTGCAGTACTGTTTATATTAAAACAATTAATTTTGAAAAATTGTTGAAGTTCATTTTTACATTTTTATATTTTTATACCAATTTTTCTTGGAAAATTTTTAAGTTTCTATTAATTTTACTCTTGTTTAAATTTGTTCTTTTACTTTCAGATTAAAACTAAAATACAGCAAATATGCAAGGAATAAAACATAAAATGTTTCACAGTTATTTTTCATCTCATCATACACTTTGAGGACAGCATCTTAAATTTTGTAATTAGGATTGTATATAATAATTATTTTTGAAAAATCTTATAGACATTTTTACATTTTTATAATTGTACTTTAAATCATTTTTGTATATAACTACTATAACAATTATTTTTAAAAAATCTTGAAATTAAAATTTTTTAATTATTTTCGATAATTTCGTTAATTATGAATCCAAACGTGCCAAAATGTTATAAATATTCTAGTAATACGTTATTCTATGGGTTTTAATCGTTTTTAATATAGGTTGAAGTCATTTTTACATTTTTATAATTGTACTTTAAATCATTTTTGTATATAACTACTATAACAATTATTTTTAAAAAATCTTGAGGTCATTTTTACATTTTTATTATTGTATTTTTAAATCAATTTTATATTGAACTGCTATAACAATTATTTTTGAAAAATCTGGAGGTCATTTTTACATTTTTATTATTGTATTTTTAAATCATTTTTATATATAACTACTATAACAATTATTTTTAAAAAATCTTGAAGTCATTTTTACATTTTTATTATTGTATTTTTAAATCATTTTTAATAAGTAAATTAGATTAAATTATTATAGTGTGAGAATGTCATCGATCGATATTCTATAAATATCGACAAGAAAAGTCTCCGTCTCGTTATTTAGTATGATCATGTCTCGTATTCTGACCTGTAACCAGTGTCGTGTTTAATTCATCGAGATAACTCGAGCTACTAGCAACTACTTCTGATATCATCAACTATCTTCACTTTCGTATAGTTCACTCGTTAAAGCACAGATGGTTGATTTATGCTGTGTACTCGTTAGTGTGCACGATCTCGAGAGTTTAAACGAGTGATGTAAGACAGCTTGTGTCGGAACCGTGTAAATATTAATCGGAGTGTTCCTAGTTTTTATCTATCTACGTACATAGTAGATCGTTTGAACGAGTGTTTCTAATTATAGCGTTGTATCGTGGTAATAATGAATGCAAAATAAGGTTTATGTGGACTGAACATTAATTTTTATATACTGAACATAACATTGACTGTTATTAATGAGAAATAATTTTTGGGAAAATTTTAGAAGAATTTTATTATATTTCATTCTAACATTTTTAAGTTTGTGAATTTTCAAAATTTTAAAGTATCAAATTTTTAAAAATTTAGATAAGATTTTTAGATTGGTAAATCTCTAAATTTTTTAATTTACAAAATTTCTAAGTAGGTAAATTTTTAAATATACGAATTACCAAATTGTCAAATCTTTAATTTAGGGAAATTCAAAAATCCCCAAATCTCCAAATTATTAATTTGCCAAATTATCAAATTCTCAAGCCCTTAAATCCCTAAACCCCCAAATCTCTAAATTTCCAAATTCAAAAACAATCAGTTTTTCAATCGACATACCTTCAACAGCAACACTGAAACACCGACGATCTTTTCCAAATTCATTTTCCACCGATACTTCGTATTTCCCAGCGTTGTCGGCAGTGACGTCATCCGAAATCAAACAGGAAACTCCACCACCGTAGGTAATCGCAGTCTTTTTATTTGGTGTCAGTTCTCGACCCTTCAATCAAAATTATTCCATCAATGCTCATATTTTTTCATTATGTATTTAAAATCGGTGGTTAAGTATATCGAGTTCCGAAGACGATGTACCATAACGATTATACATATGTATGTACAGTTAAGGATCTCATAATTAAAATATTCATAGTTCCAGTAGCGAAGCCATTTCTCAAGTATCTGCCGATTTCATTAATTCAAAATGCAGAAACAGAGCGTTCTTTATATGAAACAGTAATCCTTTCAATCGCAGTCCAACTGAGTTCCTTACTTTTTCTCGTGTGATCATTGATGCAATTAGAATTTTTGTTTGAAATGATCAGTATTAAATTACCACATGTTAGATCGTCACTCATTAGATTACTATATGTTATTAATATTTTAGAACAGTTTAGATAAATGTTGTATAGTTGCGCGCTAGATAATTGTACGTTAGGTTGTTGCGCGCTAGATAACTGTACGTCAGATTGCTACTCGTTATATTACTACGTGTTAGATTATTATATGTTAGATTTCTACGTGTTAATTTACTATATATTAGACTACTATGTGTTAGTTTACTACATATTAAACTTCTATGTGTTATTTTACTATGTTAGTCTTCTACAAGCTAGATTTCTACCTGCTAGTTCTCTGTCTGCTATATTACTACCCGTTAGATTACTACGAGTCGCATAACCATAGTTCACTACGTATTAAATTACTACGTGTTCAATTTCTACGAATTAGATTAAATGCAATCCAATATGTAGTAATCTAATTAGATCTTCATAAACATTTCAAAATGAAAATGGCAATATAATACTATTCAAATCAAATAATACTACAAGAAAACCAAAACAAGCTACATCATGTATACTACACTTCTGACTCCAATTGTCAAGTCTTACTGTACGACACATTACATCGTCACGTATGTATGTATAATCATTTGATATATCACCTCACACTATGTAGTATGGGACCCACATATGTATATGGATATACATGCGTATATATACAAGTATATTCCGTATGTACATGTATGTACTGATACTCTGTATTACCACATATGTATGTAATCAGGTACATTTCCAGTTACGTTTGATATATCACCTCACACTATGTAGTATGGAACTCACATATGTATGTGGAATATACATGCGTACATATATATGTATACTCCGTGCGTACATATATGTGATACTCTGTATCTCCACATATGTATGCAATCAGGTACATTTCCAGTTACGTTTGATATATCACCTCATACCATGTAGTATAGAACCCACATATGTATGTGGGATATACATGTGTACATATATATGTATACTCCGTGCGTACATATATGTACTGATACTCTGTATCCTCACATATGTATGCAATCAGGTACATTTCCAGTTACGTTTGATATATCACCTCACACTATGTAGTATGGAACTCACATATGTATATGGAATATACATGCGTACATATATAAGTATATTCCGTGCGTACATATATGTACTGATACTCTGTATCCCCACATATGTATGTAATCAGGTACATTTCCAGTTCCGCCAATGCAAACCAACCCAATAACCAATCAATCAAAAAGCAAACCTACCGCTCGGAGCCACTTGACGCTCGGTTCCGGATGACCTCGATACGTGACCCTGAGTACAACTCTGTTTCCGGTGAACACCGTCACGTCATCCGGCACCTTCACAATACTGGCTGCTGCGAATTCCTTCGCCACGGAATCCACTTTCTCCTCTTTCGTCACTGTTTCGTCCTTCCTCGAAGCCTCCATTTCTTCCGGCGAACATTCCGTGCATATTATCGGCATATTATCGTGCTTATTATCCTGCACCGGTTTCGTGACATTCTTACAGAAACCAGAATGGGAACCTTTTTCTTCTTCGTCCACCTTCGAACCACCTTCATATTTTTTCTTCTCTTCGTTAGAGGAAACTTTGGGATCCTTCGTGTCTTCATTGGAGGAAATTTCATGATTCTTCGCGTCTTCATTGGAGGAAACTCTGAGGTTTAGATTCAATTTTTGACCTATGGTGCGCACCACTTTTCTGGGACTCAGCTCTTTCTTTTTCTTCGTTTTGTTTTCTTTTTTGACGTCGAGTAAAGGACTTGTCGGAATAGCTCTTCGGGTTGTCAAAGGAGATAATCGACTCGGGGATGATCTCAGAGGCAAAGAAGATGACCTTGATCGCATCGGGGACTCTTGTCGATTTCGAGGAGAGGGAATATCTGATCCAGGTTTGCGCAGGGAATTGTTTCGAGAGCAGGTAGGTTTGGGTGGTCTTCCGTTTCGAGCTTCTACGTTGGAGCTCTCGAAACTGCGGACGGGGCGGTTCAGTTGTAGCTGCGCTGTGCAGCTGATGGATGGTCCTTTTCCAACCACGGATGCTGTGCAGCGGATCTCACCTACGTCTCGGGAGGACACGTCGTGTATCCTCAGGATGCTCACGTTCTCATCCTTTTCAATCTGATAATTATAATAATGTTGTCAAATTATAATGAACTTTTATAAGTTATCAAATTTTACAAATTTTACTAATTTCACAAATTTTACTAATTTTTCTAGTTTCACAAATTTTACTAATTTTACAAATTGTGCAAATTGTGCAAATTTCACAAATTTACAAATTTATAAATTCCCAAATATTTTCAAATACCTAAATTTTCAAATCCCTACATCCTCGAATCCTTCCATCTCCAATTCCTCAAATCTCTAAAATTTCCTAATCTTCAAATCCCTAAATCCTCAAATCCTTAAATCACCAAATCCCTAACTACCTAAGTCCACAAATCCTTAAGTCCCCAAATGTTCAAATTCAAAGTGATGCAAGGGACAAGACCTGTTTGCATTTATTAAATCAAATGATTTGCAGTCTTATAGCATACCTTGCACCTAGAATTTTCTCTAACATCTTTTCCATTGATCGCCCACATGATTTCCATGGGTTTTCCACACTGTACTCGAGCGCAGAAGCAAGCAGTTTCACCTTTCGATGTGATGACCGACAGAGGGGTCTTGATGAACTGCGGTGCCAATTTCGGAACACCTTTGTAATCTGCTCTCGAAAATGGAACATATTTTACGATTGTCAAATTGACAAATTTATATTACAAAATCTTAAAAATACTTTTGTTATTTTATTAGTATTTTACCTTGAACAGCAAAGAGACCGTTGCAGGACGCTTCTCCGAAATTGTTGCGAACGAGACAAGTGTATTCTCCAGCATCTTGTGAGCAGACATTGGACAATCTTAGAGCGATACCTCCATCGCTGTATATGATGTACTTGTAGCAATCGTTGTCAGGAATCTCGCGGTCGTCTTTTAACCAGGTGACTGAAAATGGTGGGGTACCTGAAAAGAAAGGATTTCATAATATACCTTTTATACTCAACGTTGCATTAAAATTATTTGTTGTAACTGTAAAGGTATTTCTAGATCCCTAAGTTCTCAGGTGTCTGAATGTTTAGCTCTTTGCATGAGTATAATCCTAAATTTCCAGAGCTCTAAATCTTCATATGTCTGAATCTTCAAATCTCTAAACCTTCATATGACTGAATCTTCAAATCTCTAAACCTTCATATGTCTGGATCTTCAAATCTCTAAACCTTCATATGTCTGAATCTTTAAATCTCTAAACCTTCATATGTCTGAATCTTCAAATCTGTAAATCTTCATATGTCTGAATCTTCAAATCTCCAAACCTTCAAATCTCTAAATCTTCATATGTCTGGATCTTCAAATCTCTAAACCTTCATATGTCTGAATCTTCAAATCTCTAAACCTTCAAATCTCTAAATCTTCAAATCTCTAAACCTTCAAATCTCTAAATCTTAACTCCACAAATGTCTAAATCTCTACATCTCCAAATTTTCAGATCTCCCTATCAACTAATTAGACACAAGTCTAAATCTATAATTTTTATGTCCCTAAATTCTGTGAGTTTCCAAAATTCCTAAACCTTCAATTCCAAATAATCGTTCACAAACCTGCAAGTCTTGTTTGCAGTTCATAGCAATGTCCTTCCATGACTATAGACTCATCTGGGAGCACCTGCAAGAACTTTGGTGGACTCTTATCACAGGTAGATGGATCATGTGGGTCAAGGATGGTCACCTGGAAAAACGAAATAATTAGAACCACTCTGTCGCGTTGAATGACTAAGTTTTAATACGTTCAGGTATTCACCTGGCAGGTATTTTTCGTGGAGCCAAGGACGTTCGTTGCCACGCAGGTGTATTCTCCAGCGTCGCTTGCTTTCACCTTTGAAATTTCAATTTTCGCGGTTCTGCCGTCGAAGAATCTTTTTATCCGGCTTGATCGCTCTAATGGTCGTCCATTTCTGTAAAATCGATAGACATTCTTCTATAAGTGTCTGTGTTAAAATCTTTAATTAATACGAGAAGTATGGTTACGTACGACAAGTATGATTATGTACAAGAAGTATTGTTTGAAAAAATAGTACAAGTTAATACTTTGACCAGTCATAAATTGCAGAAAATTTTCTCAGTTGATATTCACGATAAATCCATAGTAAACAGTTTTTATTATGTCTGCTATTGTTGATCAAGGTACTCAATGCACTTGAATTCCACAGAGTATTAAATCGAATGCAAATGTCATGTGTTTTACCTGAACCACGTGGGCGTCGGACTTGGCGTTCCTCGGATGCTGCAATCCAGATATAGTCGTCCATTTATCCTACTTGTGGTGTCCAGAAGGCTTCGTCCAAAGTATGGATAAGTTCTGGGTGACGCACTTCTGGTTCTGATGGTTCGAGACACTGGACCAAGCAGCTGACGATCTATTTTTAAACAGAATCATGTACAATGTTATCGAAGTATGACACAATCGATCAACTCTATTCAAGGAACAGAATATAGAGGAATATGACAGTAGAAATACAAAAATTATGTACTTGAAAATTTACTGACTTGGTACTTGCTTTGCACTTGAAAATTTACTGACGTTTGAAATATCATTTATTCCAAGAGTAGAAATATTAAGTTATAACTGTAATTAATAATTGATAATTTACTGTGTACTGAAGGACTTGAAGAGATGTCCAGCAGTAGTTTAATACTAAATTATGATAATAGTTCACACTAAAAAAATTGATTGCGTCTTAAACCCATCACTCATTGTTCAAAAATTAGTTACAACTTGAACCCATCACTCATTGTCAAAAAACAGAATATCGAACACAACATTGAAAAATACAATATTGATCCATAATTAAATACTAAAAGATGTACGTACTAATTATTTCCAGACGAGCACTCGCTTCGATGCGGCCATAATCATTCTCCACAGTCACCCTGTACAACCCCGCGTCTTCTTGCGTGACCTCTACGATCTCCAGTATCTTCACATCGTCTCTCTCCTTTATGGAGATCCTCGCTGTAGGGGTTACAGCTAGACCATTCTTGTCCCATTTCACCCATGGTGTTGGATGACCAACAACGGCGCACTGGAATCGTACGGTTTCACCTTCTTCGACGACCCGGTTGTGCGGCACCGCGTAAAATTTCGGTGGACTAATTTTCTGTCGTCTTGACATGGATCTACTTCGTGGCAATAACTGTGGAGATCTTAATTCACGGCCATCTGCAACGCATTTATTATTTTCCAATTTTCTTCGTTTAACAATAGACTCAATTAGTTAATACGACTTCAAGCTTCACATTTTATATTAAACAATTTTGTTGTCAGAAATATTTCGACGTGTTGAAATGTTTGTTGCAAATAATAGTAATTGTACATACATGAATAACAAAAATAGTTGAACATGTTAGTTGATACTTTATTTGTTAGATATCGATTTTGTTATAAGTTAAATATAATTTTGCTACAACTTAAATATACTACACTCTTTAATATTAATATTACATAACATTTGAATGCATACGTGATCTCAATTTTTATCATGTAATACATACGTGAAACAGCAGGAGACAAGCTTCTGATCGGCGTAGACCTCGGCGTCGATCTCGGCGTAGATCCCGCAGACAACAAACCTGCAGGCCTCGTGAGTCTTTGGCTCAGAACGTTTTCCTTCCCCTCAGGTACTGCGAATTCAATAAGTCTAATGAAAAAAACAAATCTCATCGATTAACAGTAATTTACGAGCACACGTTACAAATCTGTTTTTCATTTCCTCGCTATTAGCGTAGGCGTCAAGCACAGGTTTCTTATCACAGATTTTAATAAAACAAGACTGCGCGAATAAAAAATGTCGCAGCAATTGAAAAACATTGAAATCGAAGGTTTACTGGTATTTATATTATTCTTCCTTTTTTGTAGGGTTATCGGAGTGATTGATATGTAGGAAAAATTACCGTCCACTATTAAACATGCTGATGTGAATGCTTTTCCGAGGTCGTTGTAAGCCACGCAGGTGTATTCGCCCTCGTCCTCGGGGTAGACGTGCTGGATGCTGAGACGGGCTGTCTCTCCGTCGAATTCTGATGAGAAGTCGCCACCCATTTGCAAAATCTGCGAACGTGGACATAGTAGTTTGGATTTGTTGGATTGAAGGTTGATGTGATGAGATTTTAGAATTTTGGAATTTTGGAAATTTGAAGATTTGGGGACTTGAGGGTTTGCTGTGTATGGGGATTTGGGAATTTGAGAGCTTTGGGAATTTGAGAATGTTGGGATTTGGGGATTTGGGAATTTGAGAGTTTTGGAATTTGGGGATTTGGGAATTTGAGAGTTTTGGGATTTGGGGATTTAGGAATTTGAGAGTTTTGGGATTTGGTGATTTGGGAATTTGAGAGTTTTGGAATTTGGGGATTTGGGAATTTGAGAGTTCTGGGATTTGGTGATTTGGGAATTTGAGAGTTTTGGGATTTGAGGATTTGGGAATTTGAGAGTTTTGGGATTTGAGGATTTGGGAACTTGAGAGTTTTGGGATTTGAGGATTTGGGAATTTGAGAGTTTTGGAATTTGGGGATTTGGGAATTTGGGGATTTGGGAATTTGAGAGTTTTGGGATTTGGGGATTGGGAAATTTGAGAGTTTTGGAATTTGGGGATTTGGGAATTTGAGAGTTTTGGGATTTGGAATATTCGTATTTTGGAATTTAAGGATTGGACACTTGAATATGTGGACATTTGGAAATTTGGGGACTTAGCAGTTTAAGGATTTATGATTTTAAGGACTTGGGTTCTTGGAGATTTGGAAATTTCAGAGTTCGAGTATATAGAAGTTTAAAAATTTTAGAATTTGTTTCTACATCTACTTCTCTTGCTATCCCAATAAGGTATCCATAGCAATATAGTTTGCAGGACACCCTTACCGAATACACTCATATCTACTAATCAACTATAAAACTTACTGCAGTCTCCAAGTATTTCCAATATAAAAAATTGCTTTCACTCTAAAATTTATCCACCATAATAATTAGAAATCCTCACCTTTCCCCCACGTTCCCATCGAACAAGAGGGGCCTCCGGTGTGGCTTGAACTTTGCATTCGAGAGTAACAGCATCGCCATCGCAGCACCTGAGGTCCCGAAGTTCTCTCGTGATCACAGGCAAAGTCAATACGTTCCTGTCCATCAAAAATCATCCATGACAGTTAATCAACGCGATAAATCTGCTACACGGGCTATTTTGTTTCGTAAATAGGCTGTATCTTTTAATAAAGTTTATCGCCTGAATAATCAACATACCCGTGTGTAACCCCTGATTTCTTCATCTTCTCCTCTTTACCTTGGCCTAGAAACACGAGCGTTTTATCTAAGTAAATCGTGAAACGCGTTTGTTTCTTTCTTGAATCTTAAACGAATACCTTTCGCGTAGATCTGCAAAGAAATCACGGCTTTGGCCTCTCCATGGCAGTTGCGAGCAATTACGGAATAGGTTCCCGTAAAATCGAGTTTCGCATATGGAATTTCGAGGCAGTACTGTGGTCCTTCGCCCACCAGCCTAAACTGGGCTGCGTCCCTGTAATAATCAGGCTGAAACATAAAAAACAAAAAAATTAGTAGAAGGTATAATTTTATAATTGCAGGTTTAATTTAAAGAACGTATTGAGGAAATACACATCTTGAAAAAGTTCAAATGGTCACCTTTCAAGTGCAATTAATTATTGAAATACTGTAACGCATCTCGACCACTCACTCACGTATGTATTACATATGTGACAGTTTCATAAAACGTTCCTTTTATAGCTAATTTCAGTTGTGAAAGGAGGAAGTAATCACATGGGGATAAGTCATAATTTGGAGGATGTTGGAACAGACTTGGTTTTTCGTCAAAAATTCACGAACAGCGACAGTTCACATGGTGCGTTATCATGCAACAGAAACCAACTTCCCGGCACTCGATATTCGGGCCTCACACGAACGATCCTCTTCCACAAATGTTCCATAACACCCAGATAATATTCGCCATTAACATTTTGTCCCAGTAGAACGAATTCCCGAAGATTCCTTTAGAATCGTAAAAGTAAATTAACATTGTCTTCTCTCGGGACTTCTGGAATCGCAATTTTTTGATTTTGGAGAGCCTGGAGATTTCCACGTAGCACTTTGGCGCTTTGTTCGAGGTTCATACTTGAAGCACCAAGTCTCGTCACTAGTTACAATTGATTCCAGGAATGTACAGTTTCGTCTGGCTGTTTTGATAAGATTCTCGGAATATTCAACGCGAGCAATTTGTTGCGCTTGCCCGTGATTTTGTGACACGGTGACGAAAGGTTCTGTCGCATTAAACGCTACAAGTTTACAATTCGTTGCTCGATTCCAATAATGATTGTTGTGTTTTGTAGGGGAGGTATACTGTTTTCAGATAAAATATTGTTTTAATAGATGGCGATGGTTTTCCTTAAATTTAACAAGTTCCGTTACTTTTCCGACATACTATGTATCACATATGTATGTAGATCAACATATATCACATATGTATGTATGTAGTCAGACACGACTTTTTGTCAAAGTATCAAACTTTCTTAAAATAATCCAGAACTCTAACAAGAAAAATTGTAAAAAAATGCCTAAAGATAACTAATAGAGAGTTTGTAAGGTGGAGGATACTAGTAAGAGAATGTTACACAAACGACTATAATAAAACTGAGGAGAGATTTATTTCTATGACGTAAGAAATATAATATGAAGGACTCTGTAGAATTGTAGTAAGTTTCCCATAAGTATCCCCATAATTTGTGTCCCAAATAAATAAACACATGAATATAATCAACCTAAAACAATAAAATTACAACTACATATAACACATCTAAAATAAACCACTAACGTTCACACATTCTTGCAAGCTCAATTTCGCCCTAATCATCAAAGATGACCACGAACAGTGCGTGTCTAGTCGCTCTCACGTCAACGCACGTTTCATCACCGTTTCCAAATGCAATCTTGCTGCTGACAATGATAACATGTAACACGAGTGCGTATATTAAAACGTTCAACATAAATCACGTCACCAGATGGAAACAGAAAAGAAACGTCCGAAGACTAAATTGTTTTTACCCTGTTAACGGGAGGTGATCTCGAACAACGGCCTCGACCCGAATACCGGTATTTCCGTGACTGTTACGCCCACATTGAGATCATCCTTTATGATTCATGGCGCCATTATACGGGGTGTACCAGGACCGGTAATAAACCGGGTAACGCGTTATTTTATGTGCAAAAATTATGTTCACCGAACATGGTGAACACAATTTTTATGTATGTTGGGGAACGGGGGATCTTGCGAGTTATTTTTGGATATTGGGGATGTGAGGGATGGAAATTTTAGAATTTGGGATTTTGGGATTGGGGAAGTTAGGAATTTGGGGATTTGGGAATTTGGGAATTTTGGAATTTGGAAGGTTTGGAATTTGAGAATTTTGGAATTTGCAAGCTTTGGAATTCTTTGGAATTTGCAAGCTTTGAGGAAGCTTTGGAATTTGGAAACTTTGGAATTTGCAAGTTTTGAAATTTGAAAAATTTGGAATTTGGAAATCTTGGAATTTGAAAGCTTCGAAATTTGGAAGCTTTGGAATTTGGAAATTTTGGAATTTGCAAGCTTTGAAATTTGGAAGCTTTGGAATTTGGAAACTTTGGAATTTGCAAGTTTTGAAATTTGAAAAATTTGGAATTTGGAAATCTTGGAATTTGAAAGCTTCGAAATTTGGAAGCTTTGGAATTTGGAAATTTTGGAATTTGCAAGCTTTGAAATTTGGAAGCTTTGGAATTTGGAAATTTTGGAATTTGCAAGCTTTGGAATTTGCAAGCTTTGAAATTTGGAAGCTTTGGAATTTGAAAAATTTAGAATTTGGAAAATTTGGAATTTGGAAATTTTGGAATTTGGAAATATTTGAATTTCAGTCCCACACCCACCCCATCTCCACCTTTCATAATCCATCACACCCTCCGACCCATCAATCCTCCAATCCTCCACTCTCCCTTTAACCCCGTCAAAATGGAACGTATTGAACTCAAACGTATCCGACTAGATAAAAATAAGGTGAGAACGAAAAGGAAGGACAGTGATAAAAAGGGAGACGGGAAACGTCTTCGGCATGGCTCTAGTCCATATAGGGAGCGAAAGTTGAACAGATCGCTCGGATTGATCTCGTTGCTCGTATGACACAAGTGCCAACGTATATTATCGTTTTTTTTTCATTACTAATTGCACGTCTCCCGACCAGGCACGCCCTTCTTAAAACTCTGTAAAAGATTAAGGTCGTAGAGCGAGTCTCGATTGTTCTTACTGGTTGATTTACGAGGTACACGGTCCCGACGTACGATGCCACCTTTAAATTGCCTTTAATTGTTTCGGGCCCCGTGTAACCCGTAAATTTGCCAGCCTCCACTTATTGATTTCGAACACGAGTTTCGCAACGATGAACAGGTTCGAATGAAGTTTTCAGGATCTAGAATCGTGACATAATGGATCTTCTGAGACCCATCTGTCTTTCACCTGTCGTTCGCCTACGATGAAATTTATGCGGACGACACTTCCCGTTACGGGATGGAGGCGCCATAAATCGAGGCACAGCCGGTAGCAAGGACTACAAGCAATGTCATCGTCTGTAGATCTATATTTACAGTTGGAAAACAGATGGGCAACAGTTGGACACAGCGGACGGTGATTTGACTGAGAATTGCTGGCGTTTTGGTCGGGGCGCTCGGTAAACTCCTGCGCTTGGGGCTCTGGGGCGGGCTTGGAACGCGAACTCGTCGAAAAACGATAAATTCATACATAAGAAACGCTTTAATCGACTGAATCTTATGAAGGAAGCGAAGTATAACAAAATTATATGTTGGGAATAAATTTTTAACCAGTTAACTGCATTCGACATGTGTACTTTCAAATTTTATGACAGAGACATTTACTCTCTGATGTATTTATTGGTTGATTGTAACGATGCACTCTCTGAAGGATTTTTTTACACTAAATTCTACTGGTAAGTAGTTAAATTTGTTTAAACAGAGTGGAAACTAAATTCAATTTTAATTAACAAACAAAATAAAATTTTAAATAAATGTCCACAAAAAGGAATCAAAATGAATTCTACCTTTAAATAATTTATCTCTTTAAACACTATCCATCTAGAATATATCTAACTTGTTAAATAAATTATTTAAATAAGAATAAATTATATTATGCATTATGTCAATAGTAATTTAAGTCTTCATTTTTACAATGATCAGACCTTGTCATAAATAACTTATCCGTCGTAATATTTACAAATTTCGCAAGGTATAATTAATTTCTAAACGAGTCTCCTTATCGTAAACCGATCAGAATTATCTGATGGCAATACAATGTCGGTCTGTTTTTTGTCGGTGCACGGTCCAGTTTATTGAAATATCATCGTGGATCTAATCGATTTCTGAGATCTCGAAGCCGTAATTTCCACGGAGCATGAGTCACACTGTTCGATCTCTACGGAGATCGTTAGGACATTCGTCGAACCGGTCGTAGCTCAAGCGCTAATATCAGCGCCTGTTGGCCGAGTCCGAGTTTCCTCTATAGCAGAGGGACGTAACGCGTCGTGACTACGAATATACACCTCCAAATACGTACATCTTCGGTTTTGGATGCAACTGCAGGTACTAAATGAGGAGAAACGAGCTACGATTTTATGCTAGACTTTGGTTCAAAATTTTACTGACCTTTCTATCAAATGTCTGCATTTTTAAGTAGGACTGAATATTATTAAATATTGTTTTTTGATTATTGGATTTTAAATTTTGGTTTTGGATGTGATTGTAGATGTTAAATGTGGAGAAATGAGGTAGTGTTTCATGGTAGTCTTAGGTTAAAAAATTTTACCACCCCTTCTGTTAACTGTGGATATTCATTTAATTCTTCTGAATTAATAATTCTTCAATTACACAAATTATAGTTTGTTTTTAAATGTGATTGCAGATATTAAATGTGGAGAAATAAGCTAGTATTTCATGGTAGTCTTAGGTTAAAATATTTTACCACCCCTTTTGCAAACTGTGGATATTCATTTAATTCTTCTGAATTAATAATTCTATAATTACACGAATTATAGTTCGTTTTTAAATGTGATTGCAGATATTAAATGTAGAGAAATAAGCTAGTATTTCATAGTAATCTTAGGTTAAAAAATTTTACCACCCCTTTTGCAAACTGTGGATATTCATTTAATTCTTCTGAATTAATAATTCTTCAATTATACAAATTATAGTTCGTTTTTAAATGTGATTGCAGATATTAAATGTGGAGAAATAAGCTAGTATTTCATGATAGTCTTAGGTTCAAATATTTTACCACCCCTTCTGTTAACTGTGGATATTCATTTAATTCTTCTGAATTAATAATTCTTCAATTATACAAATTATAGTTCGTTTTTAAATGTGATTGCAGATATTAAATGTGGAGAAATAAGCTAGTATTTCATGGTAGTTTTAGGTTAAAATATTTTACCACCCCTTCTGTTAACTGTGGATGCACCTTTAATTCTTCTGAATAATTCTTCAAT